GCTACCAGGGCTGGCTGAGACCCACCTCTGCTTCTCGTGGCACCCCAGCTCAGGCGCCACCCTTCCCACTTACACCTAAACACCCCTCCCCACCCCAGCTTCGAGAACTCTCTATTTGCAGATATTGATAGCGCCCTCCCCCAGCCAGGTTCCCTTCCCCACCATGGGCAGTGCAGTGAAAAACGCCTGAGCCTTGCCCCGCCCCGCCCCCGCCCCCGCCCCAACCCCAACCCCAAGGAAAGGACTAGGGGTGCTCTCCCCACGCCCCTCTGCCTGGTCCCCACAAGCAGCCACAGTCCCAGCCTCCGCACCCGCCCTGTTCTGGAACTGCTCCGGAGGCTTGGGTGGTGGGGGGGGCACAGCGCACAAAGCGCCTTTTGAGCCGCGTGCCTCGGGGACGCCCCCCGCCCAGGCCTAGGGAGGGCATCTAAGGCATGAGGCTTTGCCCTCTGGGGCCTGGGAAAGGTCCTGGGGCCAGCCAGGTTGGGGGAGGGGGCGTCAGAGCCCAGTAGTCTCCCTGGAATCCCGTCCCCACCTCCCTGTCTGGACGCCCACAACCCCCGGTCCCGGGGCTCCCACTCCCGCCCCTAGAGTCACGCTCAGGAGGGAGGGGGCTGTGGAAGCCCTGACGGCTTGGCGGGGTGGGTGTTGAGCCCGGAGCGCTGAGATGGAGGCAGAGGGCCATGAGTGCGTGGATGGAGGGGCTGCGGCGCGGGTCCCCCGGGACGCCTCGGTCAACTCACCCATCTCCAGTCTGGTCTCAGCAGTGGAGGCAGAAGCGGCGTGGGCGGCGGCGGCGGCGGCGTCTCCGCAGCCCCCAGGGCCCCCGGCAGAGAGATGCTGGCGTCTGTCACCGCCTCTTGCCCCATCTCAGTCTCTGGCGGCGGCTGCGGCTGGCGCCCGGCATCGCGGGCGTCGCGGCCCCGGGCCGGCCCCTATCCCCGCCTCACGCCCCCACCTCCACCCCTTCCCGCGGTCCAGGCACGGCCGCCTGGCGGCACCCCGGGACGCGGCGTGGGGAAGGGGCCCCCTGGGAGGCGAGCGTGAGGCGAGAAGGGTGCCCAGGCAAGACCCGAGCAAGGCGAGCAGAGGTGCTGGCTCTCGCTGGGTTCCGCCGCTTGGGCCCCCACACCCCCCACACTGGAGCCCCCTCCCCTCTGTTCGCTGCACTGCGCTGGGCCTGGGTGGGGGCGCGTCGGAGCCGAGTAGTCTCCCTGGCATCCCGCCCCCACCTCCCTGTCTGGAAGCGCCCAACCGCAGGGCCTGGGGCTCCCGCTCCCGCACCTGGGGTCACTCTCAGGGAGGGAGAGGGCTGTGGGAGCCCTGACAGCGTGGGGTGGGGGTTGTGCCGGGAGCACGGAGATGGAGGCGGAGGGCCAGGAGTGCGTGGATGGAGGGGCTGCAGCGCGGGTCCCCCGGGACGCCAGGGTCAACTCACCCATCTCCAGCCACTGCCTCCAGCAGCGGAGGCAGCGGCGGCGGCGGCGGCGGCGGCGGCGGCGGCGGCGGCGTTGGCTCCGCGGCCCCCGGAGCCCCAGGCTGGGAGATGCTGGCTTCCGTCGCAGCCTCTCGCCCCATCCCGGGATCCGGTGGCGGCTGCAGCAGGCTCCAGGCTTCGCGGGCGTCGCCAGGCCCGGTCCCTATCCCCGCCTCACGCCCCCACCTCCACCCCTTCCCGCGGTCCAGGCAGGGCCGCCTGGCTGCACCCAGGGCTGCGGCGCGGGGGAGGGGCCCCCCTGAGGCGCGCGTGGGGCGAGAAAGGTGCCGAGGCGACACCGGAGCGTGGCGAGCAGAGGTACTGGCTCCCGCTGGGTTCTGCGGCTTGGGCCCCCGCCCCATCCCCCACCGGAGCCCCCTCCCCTCCGTTCGCTGCGCGGCGCTGGGCGTGGGGGAGGGGGCGTCGGGCTGTGGGTACCGCTGACGGTTAGGCCTCTGTGCGCATGCGCAGTGATTACCTCGTCTGAAGTGCCCAAGCGCGCTTGTGTTTGGCGGTATTGCTTGCGGCGGGTTACCGAGAAGTGGCAGCTACCCAAACGCGGATCCTCACTGCTGGGGTGTTGTGGCCAGGCGGGTTTGGCCTATCTCCGGCGCTAGTGTTGGGCTCGGGAGGTAGTGGAAAGGGAGGGCGGGGTGAAGTCTCTGTGGAGCCCGCAGGCTTCGCAATGAAGAGGGTTTGGGGGTTCGGGAGGGAGAAAGGCCTGTCGCCCTTGGGCTCCGCTTCTGGCTTGCAGAGCCAGGCTTGCAGGGGCGTTGGGCAGAAGAATAATAGAACTGACAACTTGCTGTTGGGTTACCACGTCCGAGACAGAGATCTCAGAAAGATCCACAAGGCTGCCTGCGTGGGCAACGTAGCGAAAGTGCAGCAGATTCTGCTCTTGGGGAAAAATGGCGTGGATGATAGAGACAAGATGAACAGGTAATAGGGGCTTGGAGGCTGGCAGGGAGGAGGCGGGACGGACCTGGGAGAAGAGCACACCTGGCCTAGCTCTACCTGTGCATCCGGAGCCCTCCCTCGGGGAGCTGGGTTCTCTTCCCTCCTGAGGTCCTGCTGCCCCTCGGTCGTGGGAACCCTACGTGGTCTAGCACCCAGGCCGACAGCGTGAGCGGCAAAAACAAAATCTTCAGCTGCCCTGGCACGTACTCGTTAATTCCTGAATAGACCACTTGACTCTCAAGTTTGACGTGATTTACCCAAATTTCAATAGTAATACACACGAAATTAAGTGTCGACAACATGTTGTTTTTAATGGACTCATTTTCATACCATAATGTCATACATAGAAAAGTGCATAATGGGAGAAATAATTCCTGTAATCAACTTCTGGGCTAGAAATTCTTGGGACAAAATCCAGTATCCAGTTTATGTCTGTGTCCACTTAGGTATGTGTGCTATTTACTGAGGGACCTGGGAAGGACATTTTGAAGTGGAAGATGGCTCTGAATAGGAGGACTTCTTTTTCTCAAAATGTGTACCCTTCCTGTATTTGTCAGTTTTGGGTAAAGCAAATGAAAGCCTCCGGTTTTTAGAATTTTGAGCTACACGTGCTCTTCTTGTGATGTCATTAAGGAAATTTTTGGACTCACTGTCTTGTACATCTGAAACTGATCGAACACTGTATGATAACGAACTGGAATTAACCTAAGAACTTATGTTTTTAGGGGCGCCTGGGTGGCGCAGTCGGTTAAGCGTCCGACTTCAGCCAGGTCACGATCTCACGGTCCGTGAGTTCGAGCCCCGCGTCAGGCTCTGGGCTGATGGCTCAGAGCCTGGAGCCTGTTTCCGATTCTGTGTCTCCCTCTCTCTCTGCCCCTCCCCCGTTCATGCTCTGTCTCTGTCTGTCCCATAAATAAATAAAAACGTTGAAAAAAAATTAAAAAAAAAAAGAACTTATGTTTTTATATAGGAGGTAGATTTGCCCTTCCAGATATCCAAATGTACCTGAAATTTCCACAAATTATTCATTCACAAACAGCTGAAAAGACAGATAAAGGAGTGGTGCAGAGTAGAACATGACCAACGCTCAAATATACATAAGACTTTAAAATTTGACACTGGTGACCTTTCATATTAGTAGGAAAAGGTGAATTATTCATAAGTAGTGGAGAAACAGCCAATTTGGAGAAAACTTATTAGAATTTGATCTCCCTAAAATAAGTTCCAGATGGGATATAAATTTAAAAATTGTAATATGCAAAATAAGAAAATTAACAGAAAAAAAAACCCACAAATGCCTCTTTACCATCCTAAAAATGACTTGAAAACAAGACTTTTGGGGGGGTGCCTGGGTGGCTCAGTCAGTTAAGCCTCTGACTCTTGATTTCGGCTCAGGTCATAATCTCAGGGGTTCGTGGGTTCAAGCCCTTCGCCGGGCTCCCTACTGTCAATGTGGAACATGCTTGGGATTCTGTTTTGCCTCTCTCTCTCTCTCTCTCTCTCTCTCTCTCTCTCTCCCTCTCTCCCCCTCTCTCTCTCTCTCTCTCTATTTCTCCCTCTCAAAAAAAATTGGGGCCCCTGGGTGGCTCAGTTGGTTGAGCGGTCTGACTTTGGCCCAGGTCATGATCCCGTGCTTTGTGGGTTGGAGCCCCGCTTCAGGCTCTGTGCTGACAGCTCAGATTCTGTGTCTCCCTGTCTCTCTGCCCCTCCCTTGCTTGCACGCTGTGTCTCTGTCTCCCAAAAACAAATAAATATTAAAAAAAAATTTTAAATCAAGATTTCTGGAGATTGGTTTAGCAACATAAAAACCTAAAAGCCTCTATCAGAAAATAATATTATTAAAATAAAAGACAATGCACTTGCAAATATTTACAACATATTTGTATCAGACAACAGGATATATCTTCGTTTTACAGAGAAGTCTTTGAAATCAAAACGAACAACAATCTGAAATTTGAAATCGTGCAAAGTACTTCTTTGCATATCTACAAGGGACCAGTGGACATAGGGAAATATAGCGTCCCTGGGAAAAAAGAAATTTAAGTTAAAAAGGGACTGAAATACCGTTTTCCATCTACAACCTTTGTGAAAATAGAGTGATGGTGCTTATACTGCCGCTTAAAGTTTAAGTTGTTTTCGACTTTCCAATAGACAATTTGGTATAAGTACCACATTTAAAAAATATGTATTCCTTTTACCCATCAATTTTATTTCCACTAAAATATCCTTAGGAAATCACTAGTGATAAATGACATACATTTTGCTTTTCTCAGCACTATTTAAAATAGCAATGTATTAAGAAGAACTCGTATAATGGCTTTTATAAGTAAATGGCATTACATCCATAAGATGGATATGTGATCATTGAAGGTGGCATAGATAATAGATATACACAGAGACGCAGAGCTGTGCTTTAGCTGATCATTGAGAACAAAAATCAGTGTGATCATAGGTACACACAAGCAGACTATGGTTTTATGTTAAGCCCCAAATTGCACAAAATGTGATGACATTTGTGATTTCTGAACCTTTGTATTTACATGCATTTTTCTTTTCCTTCAAAGAAAATCTGTGCTTTCTACAGGAAAAGGTATATAAAGGTCCTATTAAAAGTTTATTATCAACAGAAAGGGTTTATTATCGTTGAAGTAATCCTGGAGAAGAGCAAGAATATGAATCTTATATACATAAAAATAATTTCTCACTTTGTGTTGAAAAATATTTTCGGATGTAAAATAAAAAAAATGAGTTAATTAAAATGTTTTTTGAGGATTGGCATATCTGGACAACTTTTGGCCTCTTCAGAAGTAAAGGGAGTATTTTTTATTTGCACTTGTAGATTTTATTATGCATATATTAAGCATATACATATGTTTTCTGTTATAGGTAGCTTTATTACATGTAATAGGTAAATGATTTATATTAGTCATGAAAATAAAATATCTTAGTTGTGTGCTTATGAAAAAAAATAAGACCTAGCAAATATAAGTGATTATTTACTGTTTCAGAAGTATGCTTTCCTTTATATACCTTTTCTTTAAAACTATTGAAGTCTCCAACTGTATTTATCCACTCTTTCCATCCATTTATTTATCAACTAGAACCTGCACATATATTCTATAGCGGACATAATCTACCCAAGATCCTTTTGTTCTCAAAGACTTCATTTTGCACTCTATGAGCAGGATGAGAAATTTTATTGATTTATTTTCTAAAGATTTTATTTTTTGAAGTTTATTTATTTCTTGAGAGGGGTGGGGTGGGGGTGGGGAGTGGGGGGAATGGAGGGACAGAGAGAGAATGCCAAGCAGACCCCGTGCTGAAAGCAGGAAATTTTCCAATACACTTTTCAAAGAGTCCCAGCACGGGGCTTGAGCCAGTGAACATGAGATCGTGACTTGAGCCCAAATCAAGAGCTGCACGCTTAACAGACTGAGCCACCCAGGTGCCCCAGCTGTTATCTTGTTTACTTTATGTTTTAAGTGTTGTTTATTGTTGAGGGTGAAAGCATGAACAGGGGGAGGGGGACAGGGAGAGGAGGGACAGAGCATCTAAAGCAGGCTCTGCACCAGATTTTATATGTAAGTAATCTCTATACCCATCGTGGGGCAAATTTACAACCCTGAGATCAAGGTCCTATGCTCTACTGACTGAACCGGCAAGGCACCCCTAAGATGAGAAATTTTACATTGAAGTATTAGGACTTAATCTCAATGGAAGTTTTCCTCCTTCCTTTCAAAGTTTCTGGAGATAGGAAATTGTAAAAGATGACCTTTACCTGCCCTTTTGAAATTTATGAGAGGAGTAAGTACTAATATTGATCATTGGAAATACTTGATTTTCGTACAATCTGTAGACCTCAATATTTAATAAAATGAGCTGGTCCTGGTCATTGGAATCCTGAGTTTCCTTTGGCTTAAACTTTCTTGAGAGGCAAAGTAAGAAGTCCTTAAAAATGTTTTCCTTTGGTTAATTTAGTCCTCTTTTCCTATAATGCTTTTCAGAACTAAAATTTATTTAAATGCCAATCATATGACTAGAACTGCAATAGACCTATTGTATATACCATCATTTCACATAATGGAAGGCACCAAGATTCTATGGTGTCCCACAATTTTATGTACCAATAATTTTTTTTAAAGTCCTGCCAGTTACAGTTGTAAGACATCTTGAGTTATAAATTGCATTCCAATGTCAGAGATATTAAAATGTGACAAAATGAGCATCTTAGAATCATTGGAATGCAGTATTCTTGCTAATCCTTAAAACATGTCTGCAAAGTAGGTGTAATTGTATCAAGGTACCTAATTGAAGTGTTGTCTATGTAAAGCAGTAGTAATGGTAAAAATTATACTACCCAACAACTATTGAGATGTTATTTGTGCTAGGAAGTGTTCTAAATTCTTGCATAGATCCTCACTTAAGCATCACAACGAGGTCTTGTGAGATAACTACTATGTATTTTATTTTATTTTATTTCATTTCATTTCATTTCATTTCATTTCATTTCATTTCATTTTGTTATGATCATTTTTTTTTTTTTTTTTTTTTTTTTGTAATCTCTACACCTACTGTGGGGCTTCAAACTCACGACCCTGAGATCAAGAGTTACATGCTCTTCAGACTGAACTAGCCAGGTGACCCGAGACAACTACTATTTTTATCCCCTTTTGTTGAGGACATTGAGGATAAGTCTAAGCAATAACTAGTGAGTGACAGAGTTAAACTAGGATTGAAACCCTAGTGGAGCTGAATCCCGAGGTCATGCCCTTTCTCTTCAAACACGCTGCTCTTTTATTAGTGTGATGAGTAATCACTACTAAATATTGTACTTCCTCCAGAGGAAAACTGAATCTTTGTTTTGGAGGCATAGGAATAACATGCTACTTAATGTTTACAATTTCCTGAATTAACTGCATGTTTTGAGAGAGTGCACTATCATTTCCTAAAAAGTCCTCTCACTTTTTTAGGACTGCTCTCCATTTGGCCTGTGCCAATGGCCATCCAGAAGTGGTGACCCTCCTAGTAGAGAGGAAATGCCAGCTTAACCTCTGTGATCATGAAAACAGGACAGCTCTCATGAAGGTGTGTAGTAGCAGCTATGTCTGCCTGAGATGGATTTGATGTCATTCCTTAGAATGAAATGAAGTTATTGCCTTGAAACAAAACGAATCGGTGAAGCCTGTGGCATGCTTACTTAAAATTCTCAGAATTTACACTCTGTTTCTTGGCATATCACTGACAGGCCGTACAGTGCCAGGAAGAGAAATGTGTAAACATACTATTGGAAAACGGTGCCGATCCAAATATTAGGGATGTGAGTGGCAACACTGCTCTCCACTATGCGGCCTTTGGTGATAATATATCCATAATAGAGAAGCTGCTGCTATATAATGCGAATACTGAAGCAAGAAATAAGGTAAAGAACTAATTGATACATTATTTGAAATTTTATATATATACATGAATATTTTAGCCTCAAAATGTTTTATTTCACACACACACACACACACACACACACACACACACACTCACTGAATTCTATCCATCAGGCCCTGTCATCATGGAAATAACTCCAATGCCAAGTCAGGGAGGGCTAGAAAAAGATAGTACCCACAGAAGGGGCAAAGTTGTATCTCCCAGCCACCCTTCCACCCCAGAAAGAAAATGTTTCCATTAGTGCCTATAAGTGGATGGTAGTCTCAGAGCCCATAAAGGACTAAAGGTCTAGTGAGGGGAGTGAGGTGATGATGGAGGCTGGGTGCTATGCAGGAGCTTAGGCAAGGGGTGCTGCTGGGGATAGGTGGGAGGAGGAATGGAGACCCAGACCCAGCAGGGAGAGCTTGGATGTGTGCAAGTGGGAGGAGAAAGCAGCAGGTTGTAGGTGCTGGGCACTGCAGGCCCCGGTGCTCTGAAGATGAGGGCATTGGGGTCAGGTCATGTCTTGACATCCAGCAAAGGCATCTACTTGTGTTGGTAGCCACTCGGCCAGCCATGTACCATGTTGGGGTGTCCCACTTCAGAGAGTAGCTCCCGCTCAACCTTGTGTAGCTCCTCAGCAGGGTTGTAGCTGTACATGGGGAGTAGATGATGGCCACACTTGCTGGCCCGCCTGCCTTTTCTTTGACATGCATTACCTCTCACTGCTGAAACCCCTGAAGGAACACCCTTGGTTGACACGGGTAGGGTCAATTTTACGTATTTGGAAGTTCAAGTATTTATTCCCTGAATGAAAATATTTGGAAATAACTTATTTATCTAAGATTTCTTCTTTCTTTCTTTCTTTCTTTCTTTCTTTCTTTCTTTCTTTCTTTCTTTCCTTCTTTTCTTTCTTTCTTTTGTTCTTTCTTTCTTTCTTCCTTCTTATTATTTTTTATTTATTTTTGAGAGAGAGAGACAGAGACAGAACAAGAGTGGGAGAGGGGCAGAGAGAGAGAGTGGGAGACACAGAATCTGAAGCAGGCTCCAGGCTCCCAGCTGTCAGCATAGCGCCCAATGCAGGGCATGAACTCATGAGCCATGAGATCAAGACCTGAGTTGAAGTTGGATGCTCTACCAACTGAGCCACCTAGGCACCCCTAAGATTTCATTTTAAATAAGGATACTTCTAAAGAAACATTAGAGAATACTGCTTTGTTTTATGTATTTATGGCAAATATTTATGAAAACAATATATTTGTTAAACGTAAAACTTATTTTGTTTTCAAATATTTTTTCCCATCCAATTTTTTTTTATTAGTGAAAAACAACACAGGAAAGCAAATTTTCCCTAGGCTTTGTCTTAAAACTCAAAGAAAACAAATGCATTTTACAATAAAAAATATTGCTGCTGTTGACAAGTTCACATTTGATAGAAAAGTGATTTATAAAAATGGGATTTATCTTTTATTGGCCAAGGCTTAAGAGGAAAAAGAGGAAAGGAGGGAGCAGTCAGAACTAAGTGGGCCAATTTGGAAATTTGGCAAGTGAGAGAAAATAACAAGAAGAGGCTGTTTGTTTTATTTTTCCCCCTTCAGTTTATATGTTTAGTCAAGGAGTCTTCAATTTTCGAGGGGAATAATTGTTACTTAGGGAGAGAGTGAGTTGTAAACCTGCCTAGAGACCAAGTGTAGGAGGACTCAGAGGAAATCAGATTGGCAGTGAACAGGTGGTTGATGAAGTGGGCAAGGAGAGGAAAGAACAAATAATTAACTGTCATATAATCCTATTCTGGCAGAAACAGCCACTTAGATAAGAGTCTAAACTCTGTTCTGAACCCTAGAATATCTTGATGGGAAGTAAGAAGTTTAAAAGTAATGAAATCAAGTTGCATTTTGACTTTACATTTAGTCCCTGTTCTACCTCTGCTCAGGGAAATTAAATGCAGTTTTGATAAGTCATTCTTTTGGCTAAATCTTCAAATGATAGAGGGAGTTGGCCACATACATGAGACTGATGTGATTGTCTGCTGCACCAGCTCTCAGCTAGAATTGTGGTGGTGAATCCCAGTGCCCTGAGGAAGTTTCAATTTTTTTTTACAAGCCTAAACTCTCCCCTGAAGAGTTTGAGTAAATCTAGTAACATGTATACATAGACATGGATATTTAGAAATATTTTTTTTGAGACTGTGCTACAACTCTTGGTTCAGAACTACTGGGGTGTGTGGGTGGCTCAGTCGGTTAAGCATCTGACTTCAGGCTCAGGTCATCATCTCACGGTTCACAAGTTCTAGCCCCGTGTTGGACTCTGTGCTGACAGGTTAGACAGAGACTGGAGCCTGCTTCATATTCTGTAGTCTCCCTCTCTTTTTGCCCCTCCCCTGCTCGTGCTTTTTCTCTCTCTTTCACAAGTAAGTAGACATTTAACATTTATTTATTTTTGGGACAGAGAGAGACAGAGCGTGAATGGGGGAGGGGCAGAGAGAGAGGGAGACACAGAATCGGAAACAGGCTCCAGGCTCTGAGCCATCAGCCCAGAGCCTGACGCGGGGCTCGAACTCCCGGACCGCGAGATCGTGACCTGGCTGAAGTCGGATGCTTAACCGACTGCGCCACCCAGGCGCCCCAAGTAGACATTTAAAAAAGAAAAAAATAAAAGCTAACTACTGAAGGGAGGGGTACCCGGGTTGTTTGGTTGATTAAGCGTCCAACTTCCACTCAGGTTGTGATCTCATGGTTTGTGAGTTCGAGCCCCACATTGGGCTCTGCACTGATGGTGCAGAGACACATGAGAGTCTCTCTCCTTGCCCCTCCCCCACTCGCTCATGCTTGCTCTCTCTCTCTCTCTCATATTCATAGCCATTTGGTTATTACAAGCAGTGTTTTCCTGATTGCAAGAGGAGAAAGTCTTGAATCTTTTTTATTAGTTGAAGCTATGTGACAGACTGTCTTATGACGTCTGTTAAGTTCATATAGCCCTGGCATAATCCAAATGGTAGTTTTAAACATGGAAATGTAGTTAGTGACAATACAGTTGGGAATTGTTTTAATAATTTAGTTTCAGCATAGTTGTGAACTAATTTGTCTATTTGATTAACAGTCTGGGAGAATTAAACACAGATAGATTGCAGTTTTAATAAACGTTGGAAAAAATCTTAAAGTGGGTTTTATGAGTCTTTTGTTGTGATTCTTTTAGACAGAGAGAGTGTGAGTGGGGGAGAAGGGCAGAGGGAGAGAGGGAGAACCTCAAGCAGGCTCCAAGCTCAGTGCCAAGCCTGATGCAGTACTCAGGCCCACAACCCTGGGATCATGACCTGAGCTGAAGTCAAGCGTCAGATGCTCAACTGGCTGAGCCACCCAGGCTCCCCTCTTATGAGTCTTAATAGCAATTTTTATTACATGTTGGGGCCTAAGTGTTTGGTAAAACGTGATACTGATACTTCAGGAAAGATTTACTACAAATATTTGCTTTACGCACAACCAAAATACCCGTGGGCTATTGACTAAATTTGGCCCCTGGATGTGTTTAGTTTCCTCCATAAATTGAGTCAACGTTTAAAATTATGACACTCATGCAGAAATCTGGATTTCAGACTTTTCTTACAGAATCATACCGGATACTTTGAGCCCATACTACTGTTTGGTATGCATTCCAGCGGCTGCCCTTTTTATATGAGGCGTATGTGTCTCCAGTTTGCTACTGTCCCACTTAGGTTCTTCACTTACTCGAGTCACCTACTTTGCCTCCATAAGCATTGCGTTTGCAATTACTGTTTTATGATCTCTCTCTCTCTCTCTCTATATATATATATATATGTATATATATACATATACACACACATATAAATATATATACATAAATATATATATATATATATGTGTATATATATATTCTTAGACTATGCTAATCAGATCTCTTTTGGGACACAAAGAAACCTTGGTAATTTTTTTTTTAAGTTAATTTTGAGAAAGAGAGAGAGAGAATCCCTAGGAGGCACTGGGTTTGAACTCATGAATCATGAGACCTGACTTGAGCCAAAGTCAAGAGTCAGATGCTTAACTGACTGAGCTACCCAGGCGCCTCTGTTTTATGGTCTCTTTTGATAAAGTTTTCAAGGTTTTGAAGGCAATCCATATTGATTTATAATTATATTTTGTATTTTATGTTAATGTCTTCGGAATAGGATTGAATTTTCCAAGTTAGACTTTCTAAGTTGTTTTTGTATTGTAGGTATTTTTTTAATGTTTATTGATTTTGAAGGAGAGACAGCACCTGCATGAGTGGGGGAGGGGCAGAGAGAAAGGGAGACACAGAATCCCAAGCAGGCTCCAGGCTGAGCTGTCAGCATAGAGCCCAGTGCAGGGCTTGAACTCACAAACCATGACATCATGACCTGAACCGAAGTCGGCCTTTTAACTGACTGAGCCACCCAGGTGCCCCATAAGTTAGTTTGAAAACGAGACACTTTTTCCTTCTGTGTACTATAAATCATCGTATTCCTGGGGCGCCTGGGTGGCTCAGTCGGTTGAGCGTCCGACTTCGGCTCAGGTCATGATCTCACGGTCTGTGAGTTCGAGCCCCGTGTGGGGCTCTGTGCTGACAGCTCAGAGCCTGTAGCCTGCTTTGGATTCTGTGTCTCCCTCTCTCTCTGCCCCTTGCCCGCTCATGCTCTGTCTCTCTCTCTCTGTCAAAAATAAATAAACATTAAAAGAAACAATTTGAATAATCGTATTCCTATTGGAATATTTGCAAACCGTATTAGATTAATCATGGTTACAGTTGAATAGGTTATGCCTATTGCAGACAATATTCTCTTTCTCCTCAGCATTGTTCCCCAAAAAATGCAAATAATGTAGTTACTTTCATTATGCTAAACATGATCTGTAGAAACCAGTGTTTGAATTTTTATTGATAAGCCATTATATTTTTATTTCCGATTTATATTTTGCCTAAACTATAAAGTAAGTAGCTATTCCAGTGGAAACTGGATTACAACTAGAATACAAACAGATTGTTTTAGTAGTAGATATGCATTAGGGTCCCAGGATTATTATAATTGAGAATAAAATTTCATATTGAGCTTCCTAGCAGTTAAGATAAAACTTTAGCATTTTATAATAGGAGAAAGCCCATGGGCTATTTAATATTAAGGAATCAAAGTTCATTTGAAGCTTATCTCTTGGAGTTCTGAGCCCATCTCCTTAGTGACCCATTTGGAGCAGGAATGCCTTATGTTGACATCTCAGATGTCAGTGGATCCTGATACCACTGACAGAAGACAAGCAAGTTTGTATAACTTGGGGAAAAGCTTCACCTTTATCGGAAAGCTCTCCAAACTATATCCCTGAAACTCTGATTCCTCAAATGTGAATGTTTGCCACAAAAAGGATTGTCAAATGGGGATTGAGCAGATTTAAATGGATTTTTGTAATGTCAGACATATAATGCAGTTTTATAATATTTCTCAAACATAGGTGATCATGAAATCTTTCCATTGGGACATAGTACTTACCTTCTGGCAAAGTACGTATTCTTTGGAAGATAATTTAAGAAACACTGCTCCAGGGGCGCCTGGGTGGCGCAGTCGGTTAAGCGTCCGACTTCAGCCAGGTCACGATCTCGCGGTCCGTGAGTTCGAGCCCCGCGTCGGGCTCTGAGCTGATGGCTCAGAGCCTGGAGCCTGTTTCCAATTCTGTGTCTCCCTCTCTCTCTGCCCCCCCCCCGTTCATGCTCTGTCTCTCTCTGCCCCAAAAAAAAAAAAAACTTTAAAAAAAAAAATAAAAAAAAAAAAAAAAAAAAAAAAGAAACACTGCTCCAGAGATCATCATTTAGGTTATTAATTCAGTAAAAGTACTTAAAGCATTTACTGCTGTGTTTTGGAGTTTGGAGATATAGACATAAGAAATAGCCCCTGCTCTCAAGAAACTCTTGGTTTAGACAGGGAACAATAACTACAGTATACCATCATGAGTACTGTGATAGAAGCAACAATCTTGGAACCAGTCAGTGTTTGAATTGAGTTTGGGAGAATGACTGCATATAATCTGTTGAAGAAGGTGGAGGAGGGCTATTTTATTAAAAACAATTTTTAATGTGTGTTTTTTTTTTAATTTTTTTTCAACGTTTTTATTTATTTTTGGGACAGAGAGAGACAGAGCATGAACGGGGGAGGGGCAGAGAGAGAGGGAGCCACAGAATCGGAAACAGGCTCCAGGCTCTGAGCCATCCGCCCAGAGCCCGACGCAGGGCTCGAACTCACGGACCACGAGATCGTGACCTGGCTGAAGTCGGACGCTTAACCGACTGTGCCACCCAGGCGCCCCAAATGTGTATTTCTTTTTGAGAGAGAGAGAGAGAGCGAGGGCAGGGGGGGAGAGACACAGAATCTGGAACAGGCTACAGGCTGTGCGCGGTCAGCATAGAGCACAATGCAGGGATCAAACTCACAAACCCTGAGATCATGACCTGAGCTGCAGTTGGTCACTTAACCAACTGAGCCACCCAGGTGCCCCAGTGGAGGAGGGCTATTTTAAAGAGGAGCAGCAGCAGGTGAAAGCACAGGGGTGGGATGGAAGAGGCCATTTTTTTATTTACTTTTTGTATTATATGTTTAAGTTTAGAGGATCTTTTGTATGTTTTAAAATTCCGTATGGAAAGGTGTAATTTTGTAAATTCTGAATTGTTTTTGCTCTTTTACAGGATAACTTCACACCACTTCTAGTTGCTGTAAATGAAAACAAACAGCAAATAGTGGAAGTTTTAGTAGAAAAGGTGGCAAATATACATGCAGAGGATAAATTAAAAAGGTGCAGTAGTTTTCTTTTAAACCTTAGTATGGTTCTAGAGTGGTAATAATTATTCAAGTCAGGAAGATTAACTTCAGAAGAAGAAGATTAATTTATAATTATATAGTGAAAAATGTCAACACATCACCAGTTAGGCAGAAAGCAATTAATCTGACTGGGCAACATGAAGAACAGGGTATAGCAGAATTCATATTCCTTGATGATGTTGACTCACTTGCAGTGTTTATTTTTAAGTAGGTTCCGTGCTCGGCCTGGAGTCCAACACTGGGCCTGAACTCATGACTCTGAGATCAAGACCCGAGCTGAGGTCAAGAGTCTGATGCTCAACCAACTGAGTCCCCCAGTTGCTCCTGCAGTGGGTTTTTTTGTTTGTGTGTTTGTTTTTTCTGCCACATGATTTTGTGTTAACTAAAGGGATTTCATATTAGTTTTATAAAGGGTGGACTCTCAGCTCTTAATTTACTTTATGACACAATATTGGCCTTCTTAACCCTTTTATGGTATTTTTTTAAACTTCTACTTCACTCTTATGTGGATCCTGAGAAACTTAACAGGAACCCATGGGGGAGGGGAAGGAAAAAAAAAAAAGAGGTTAGAGTGGGAGAGAGCCAAAGCATAAGAGACTGTTGAGAACTGAGAACAAACTAAGGGTTGATGGGGGGTGGGAGCGAGGAGAGGGTGGGTGATGGGTATTGAGAAGGGCACCTTTTGGGATGAGCACTGGGTGTTGTATGGAAACCAATTTGACAATAAATTTCATATATAAATAAAAAAAAATTAAAAAAAATAACAAATAAAAAAAAATTTTTTTAAGAGGTAAAAAAAACAAAAACAAAAACAAAAAACTTCTACTTCGTAGAGGCACCTAGGTGGCTCAGTTAGTTAAGCATTCGACTTTGGCTCATGTGATCATCTCATGGTTCGTGGGTTGAACCCCACATCAGGCTCTGTGCTGACAGTGTAGAGCCTGCTTCAGATTCTCAATCTCTCTCTTTCTCTCTCTCTCTCTCTCTGTCTCTGCCCGTTGCCCACACTCTCGCGTACACTCTCTCTCTTTCTCAAAATAATCGTAAATAAACTTAAAACAAAAAGAACTTCTACTTCATATATATTTTTCCTTCAAAGAAGTATATTGGGGTGCCTGGGTGGCTCAGTTGTTTAAGTCTATGACTTTGGCTGTGGTCATGGTGTCATGGTTCGTGGGTTTGAGCCCCACGTCGGGCTCTGAGCTGACGGCTCAGAGCCTGGAGCTGCTTTGGATTCTGTGTATCCCTCTCTCTCTCTCCCTGTGCCTTGCTTGAGCTCTGTCTCCCAAAAGCGAATAAATGTTTTAAAAAAGATGCGTATTAAACATAAATAGGAGTTGTTTTGTCTTCTGGATGACACTTTTCTTTAAATTGCTTTTTTTTTTCTTTTTTGAGGAATACTGATGTCGTTAGGTGATCTCTAAGTGATGATTAATTGCTATTACCAGGTCTCATCAGGTGTTACCCTTTTTCATGTCCAGTATATGTATTTTTTATTTTATTTTTAATTGGTAGGAGTAGAAAGATGAAAGATAACTTTAACTGAATAGACTTTTCCTTTAATGAGGATAAGTTATAGGTGGGTGATAAAGAAGAAAGAGATGTGCTTTAGATTCACACAAGACTAAGTTGATTCATAGCTTTCCTACTGGCTAGGTGTTGTGACCTTGGGAGAGTTACGTATCATCACTAAATATGTTTCCTGATATGAAAAGGATGATGATAATATATCTTTCAAGGGTGGTTGTGCGTAAATAATATTTTATATACATAGCATTTAATTTAGCGCCTACCATACGCTTATCAGCATCCTTAACTATAATTATGCCTATTTTGTTAGCATTCGCATTAAAATATTATCATTTTAAGCCTGCAGACAGTTTCTATAATTACTTGACCTCTAGATGGCTTTGAAGTGCACTGTATTAGATTAAGGAAGACATGGGGAATTCTTTTTTAAAATCTTTACCTATTCGGATAAGTGACCTCAGCATAGTTTCTTGTTTATCAAAGGACTTTAAATTAGCAACTCTATAATACGTCACCCAAGTGGGACAAGAAGCTTCCTTTTTGTCCCTTCATTTTGGCCTTGGAGATCATTTACAAAGATGAACACTGAAACATGTAAATGGTCGATTCTGAACAGATAGGCAAGATATTAACCTGATACAGCGTATCAAATTAGCTGTTTAAATAACTCTAGATTCCTAAGAATGAAGTTATCTCTGTTATTTTAGAACAGCCTTCATGCTTGCTGTAAATTATGACGCAACAAATGTAGTCAGGCTTCTTCTTCAGCAAGGTATTGACCCTTTTCCTCAAGATGTATATGGATGGGCTACAGATGAATATGCTTATATTAAGGGTTTTAATCTGTAAGTGTTTGTATTAAAATGCTAGTCATTACTAAACTGAGTTTTCAAATAATGTAACTGTTATCTTCGTATGGAACAGATGGGATTTCGTAGTTTGGTCAGGCAGTTTTGGAATGGTAATCAGTTAGTCCACAACATGAGCCAGAAATCAAGCAAAGGACTAGACTAGTTGGAAGTAGGAATGTGTGCAGGATTCTTTATCTCAGGACTTTTGAGACCTTTATCGTCCAGGATTATGCATTTCATTTCAAGTATAACCCCTCTGCATGGGGCACAAATAATGTTACATCTCTGTGTTTTCTAACTAGTAACCTGGGTCTTGAAATGTTCAGTTTTGTAGAAGACCCTGTACTTTCCTTTGAGGGCTATCTCCTGTACTCTGTCCCTTGAATTTTACAAGAACCTAAGGAGCACCCTAAGACCAAAGAGACAGTCCTCTTTCACAAGTCATTTGGAGGGGACAAAAGGGCATCTGATCATTCTACAGTTTTCTTTGATTCTGTTTCTGTGGCATTGCTGTTGAAACTGGTGCTGCAGTCTGGTCGTGATTGACCTTTGCTCCCAGGATTCCCTTGCTGATCCAGATTTTTCAGTCTTCATGGTGATCCACACTTAGATTTCAAAGTTACAAAGTTTCTTTTGCTCACTGCACATGCACATATGCTCAGCAGCTATCCCAAAGCACCAGCACCCTGTTAGGGCAGCTGGGCCTCCTGGCTTTCGCCATACACCCCTGTCCCTCCACGCTCAAAGACCTTATGTGGAACCCATATCTTAGCCTAGACTTTCCTTATGAGTTACCCTTTGCAGATCTTGTTTGTCTTTTTTTTGGCCAGAAGATGTTAGTTGGGACCATTCTAAGCTGTCAGAGAGGTTCAAATGATGCTGCAGGAAGAGATCAGACTTCCCTTTCTCCTTTGTTAGTAGATCTGTACCCCTGCCTTTTTTTGTTTGTTTGTTTTAAGTAGGCTCCATGCCCAGCGTGGAGTCCACCATGGGGCTCGAACTCATGAGCCTGAGATCAAGACCCAGCTGAGATCAAGAGTTGGATGCCCAACGGACTGAGCCACCCAGGTGCCCCTGGACCACCGCTTTAAATCCTGTGGAGCATCTTTTCTGAGGTCATGGAAGGTCTCATCTTGCCCTTCCCAGAGTAATGAGCATCACCTAAGAGGCCATGGCCTGAGAGGCCATGTTTTGGGTATAATATCTCATCAAATCCTCTTATAAAACTTGTAAACTAAGGCAGTAATTTCCCTTGTTTTATACAGGGAGATTTTGAGCCAAAGAGAAGTGGCTTCTCCAAGAACAAATAGCTATAGGTTATAGAGCTAGGACTTCTGGGTTCCAAACCCTTTCCATTCTGGCAAGCGAATTCTAATTATTCTCATTACTATTTGATGTGTATTTACTTTTGATAGAAGGAGACGGAGTATGAGCTGGGGTGGGGGGTGGTTGCAGAGAGAGAGGGAGACACAGAATCCGAAGCAGGCTCCAGGCTCTGCACTATCAGCACAGAGCCCGACGTGGAGCTCAGAGCCATAACCCGTGAGATCATGAACTGAGTTAAAGTTGGGCGCTTAACTACCCAGGTGCCCCAGGCAATCTAGTTCTAATTGACTAAGCTAGAATGCCCTCAATTCATGACTGGTTCATCTTCCTGTTTTTTTCTTCTTTAAGTACAGACTTAATGAAAGGCTTCTAGAATGTACAAATTTGAAGTATATGGGGTAATTCAAGTTTTGATATTTGCTCTGATATTATTTGAAATACTCTAAGCATTGGATGTATTTGGTAAATGTTTTTCATATCACCATTAAAATAGTAATATTATTTATCACACTTTTTTATACATAGCAGTGACGAAATAATTTGCCACCATAAAGAAGAAATCATGCTTAAAAATTCTCTGCAAAATAGCAATCCAGGTAAGACTTTACATAGTGAATTGCTCTTGGTGGTACTAACATAGGTAAAGTCAGAGTAAGGGTGTTTTGATAATGAAAGAACAATGAAGAAAAGAACACCAATGTGTAAATTGCATGTGTATTCATTTTCTTTCTTAATTTCTTTCTTTAGAGTCTAATGTTCAGAATGATTTAAGAAGTTAACTGTAGGTAATTGAAAATATGAGGCAGTATTATCTGAGAAGAAATTCATTATTTTAGTCATGACCCCTAAAATACCATGTGACATCTTTGTGTAATAAATACGAAAATGCTTTGTTAACTGTTTATTTAATTTTGAGAGAGAAAGAGAGAGAGAGAGAGAGAGAGAGAGAGAGAGAGAGAGAGCAGGAGAGGGGCAGAGGGAGGTAGACAGAGGATCCAAAGCAGGCTCCACCACTGACAGCAGAGAGACCAATGTGCGGCTCGAACTCGTGAGCTGCGAGATCACGACCCGAGCCAAGGTCAGATGCTTCACCAACTGAGCCATCCAGGTGCCCAGAGGAAAAAAGATTTTTAAGTTAGTAGGTTTTATGTTTCCTCCATAAACATAACAAATTGCACTTGCTATAAAAATGGATCTTTTATAAAATGTTTATAAATGGATTATATTTAGTAAATATTGTTACCTAGTGATTTGTCTCATTAAAAATTAACCAGCCAGCGGCGCCTGGGTGGCGCAGTCGGTTAAGGGTCCGACTTCAGCCAGGTCACGATCTTGCGGTCCGTGAGTTCGAGCCCCGCGTCAGGCGGAAAAGGAAATTCCCTTTTCCTTCTCTCTCTGCCCCTCCCCTGTACATGCATGCTCTGTCTCTCTCAAAATAAATAAACATTTAAAAACAACAACAACAACAACAAATCCAGAATGAGATATGTTGACTTCATTAGAACAATGTTTTCTTCTGTTTCTTGGAGAATTGTCACGACAGTGTAATTTTGTTAGAATAAGATACTCTGTTGCCATTAGTCAAAATTTTAGCTTCATAAGTATTCAAATAGGGCAACTTGGGCTCCAGGAATTATAATAAAAGCACAAATGTTTCACAATCACACACACACACACAAAATGCTACTGTTGCTCCCTAGTTGTGGCACCTAGTACACTGCACAATCTGAAAAGTAGGAAGAAAGCTTTAACCTGGTAGACTGTTACCAAAGACCTTCTGTAGGTTAGTTTTGGAAGTTACAGCAAAGGCAAAGATCGAGCAGACAGCGTTTGGATCATGAAGGTGCTCATAACAGAATAGAGCTGTCCCTGCGGTTTTTGAAACAGAAAAGTTTCTGTGGCTTTTAAAAATAATTTTCAAAGGAATCATTTTTATTCACATCCATTTGTTCACTTCACAAGTCACTCTTAAGTGCCTTTTAGCTACTAAGTGTTATCCTGTTGCTGTAGAATACAAACATTCAAAAACCAGTCTCTGCACCCCAGGAGTTTGTTGTTATCCCTGTCATTTGTATTATGTACTCTCTTTAGTGCTTACTAGGTGCCAGAGTCTCGTAGAGCTTATAATTATCATTGTTATTTTGTATTGGCATTTGTTCCAGTTACCGTAAGTTCACGGTGAGGAGTCAGAGTTTTCAAAGACTGGGTAGAATCTACGGTAAGCATGCAGGGTGAGTAGTTCAGTTTGCCAGGTAGAGAGGCAGAATGACAATGTTTGGCAGGACCAACATTTGTATGTTTGACAATGTTTGTAAACTGTCACGATTACGTGTTTGGCGGAGTACACAGCAGTGCAGAGGCGAAGGTGTACGAGTGAACTTAGCAGGATTTATGAGCAGTTGGGTTTTGCTGGTAGAAAACGTGTGCTATGGGAATGGTTGGGAATGAGGTGAATACCTAGGTAAGACAAGCTTATGGAAGTTTGTCAGTGCTATAGAAAGGAGTAGATCTTACCCGATAGGCCTTGGGAAGTTTCTTCGGTAGAATGCTTTTAACAGCAAATAATAGGTGACTTCTAACAGCGACGAAAACAGTAGGAACCAGAAATGTTTTGATGGTTCAGTGATGTCATCAGGATCCCAGTCGTCTCTTGTTCAGTTTTGGAGTTGGTGGTGTTTTTATTTCTCCTTTCTAGGGTGGCTAATTAGCGACAGCTCCAGGTATCATACTCTCACATGGCAACATCCGGTGGGTGGGAAGGACTGCTTTTCTTTAGGTGTTTCTTTTCACTAGGAAGAGGCTTTCAGTAGCCTTCCTCTAGCATTTTAAAGACTAGGTTACATCACATACTCACTCCTAAACTGGTCCCTGGTAAATCAGGTACTGTGATTAGCTTAGAATAATCCTTTCTCTTTTTGAAGCCAGGGTGAGGCCACCTTCTTTGTGTATGGAGACAGCAATATCCAAATAAAGTTGTGATTCTCTAGCAAGAATGAAGAATATGGAAGGGCTCTTAGGGAGGGAGGCGGCAGTATTTGATGCAGGGAGTTTGGAGAATTTGAAGCCGAAGACTAAGAAGATTAGATTTGAGTTAGGACACTCTGGTTATGGCATAAAATACAGATCACCAAGCCTTTTTCCCTAAAGATCCAGTGAATATTTTAGGTGATGTGGTCTCTCAGCTCTGCCCTTGTAGTGTGAAAGCAGCCGTAGCAATATGTAAGTGAAGACCTGGGACTATGCCCCAATAAAACATTACTTACAGAACCAGATGGCAGGTTGGATTTGGCCTGTGGCCATAGTTTGCTGAGCCCTCATATGGAGGATAGGTTATAGGAAACCACATAAAGAGACTGGGAGGCAAAGGAAGCTCTTGTTTTCTTAGCCTGGTATTAGTCCATTGTGAAACTTTCAGCTGTGTAGATTGAAAACGTCAGGGGGTTCAGTTTATTCCATTAATTTTTTTTTTCTGGGCCTTGGGTCTTTCTCATTTGTTTTGCTGAAAATTTTTTATTTGTTTAAGAAATAACAATAATATTTGGTGGCTTTTTTTTCCCCTGTGAAAATCATCAGTTAAGAACTCATGTTTGACTAGGGCAGTAGCAGGGGAAAGATAAAGCAGAGACAGAAACAGTACAGTTAATATGAGTTTGTGATTCCTGAATATAAAAAGTTAGGGGGTGAGAGAGAACTCTCAGAAGATTCAGAGGTTTCCAGGTTGTGCACCAGCATTTAAATTGGACATGAAGAATGAGTAGGACTTTATCAGATGAACAGAGGAGAGCAGCAGGAATGAGGAAGACCAGTAGTTTTCTGTATAGGTTGACTTTGATGGAATATCCATGTAGGATATTCTCAGTATTTGGATAATTGAATAATAGGAGTTTCCAGCTGGAGATAGACCTTCAAGATTGGAGGTGCAGATTTGAAATAATCTGCTTAGAATTATTAGGCAGAGTCATAGCTTGGATAAAGATTGAGCTTGTCCATGATGGAAAACATGGAGAATGAGAAAGCCAGTGAACAAACCCTGGGGATACCATTCTAGAGAGGATGGATGGAAGAATGGCAGTTAGTAAAGAAGACTGAGGAGTGCTCGGGAAAAAGTAGGTGAGGAATTAGAGGAAGTGATGTGGAGAAAATTTTCAAAAACTTCACGCAGGAGTATTTTATCAAATTACTAGAAAGAAAGTTGGATTTAACTTTTAAAAGTTCTCTGGTGGTAACCTTTTCAAAAGAACAATTTGTGAGTTAAGGCCTTTTATTTACGTGGTTGGTGCTTTCGGTGTCCAAACGTGGAAAAATAACATATCAACCAAGGTCCTATCTAACTTTTTGTAAATGCAACACCTACCCAGGCAGGGTCAAGGGAAAATGGTCTAGCCTGGTGAGTATACTTGCCCAGCATTTTTCCATAATTGTCAAAACCTAGGAGTCAAGTGTGAGGAAAAGTGTTGTCGTTCTTACCTGCTGCTTGTGGGAGTACTTGAGGTTTTCCTCAAGTCCTTGATGAACTCTTCTGGATGAATACTGGGACAAAAATCTGGCTGCAACAGCTGGAAGCCACTGTCAGGCCCTGTCTCTGGAATGGAATCCCGAGACAGCTGTATTTTTAATAGCTTTAAATTTTGATCAGAAATAGTTTCTAGAGCAGCAGACTGGAGAAACCGACCTCGTGTCAATATGTTATTGCAGAAAACTAATATCATAACAAGGAGAAAATGTCAGGTGATGCGCTGAATCTACTAGTTCTCCGTAGTTTGGGAATTCTAGTGATGTCAGTAAAAAAGTCAATACGGGATTATTTTTGCTTGTGTCTTTTTTGTTATGTTTGAATACCTGACTGTATTTTGTTAGTGCTGTCTCTCTTTATTTTCTTTTGATTGGCCTTCTTCTGATATCTCTCCTTTTAGTCTGCCTTTCTGAATTGGATCCCTAAAGAAAGCTCTAAGGAAAATTGTCTTGGAATCTACTACTATTAGAATACATTTCCACCATATGCATGTTGAACATATATGTATATTTCCTTCTAAGGCATTGGGCTACCTAATCTCAAGTTTGTGTCATCTTTATGAGTTTCTTAGGCAAAACGACTTTCTACCTGTACACACAGTGATAGTGATAGTGATAGTGTCAGTGATGATGCCCTGTCAAGATTGAAAGCATTTTCTGGATTGTCAGGTAGAAATTTTTGTAGGGTACAGTTTTAAAGTGAACTGCTTTAATATTTTTTTCACAAATTGGTAAGCTGTGACTTAACAAGAATATGTGGCCAATTGGAATACCAAGTTTTGAACCAATTATATAGAAGATAACTCACTTTGCCTTCCCCCAAATGGGTCCTATTGATCTTCAATGCTCAAATCTGCTGTTTTCAGGGTGGAGTGGATAATTCCCCTGACAATTTGGACACAGTAATTATGACTTTTTGATTATTTTGGCAATAACTGCCTTTAATAGGTGAACTATATTTTTAATTTTCTAAGAAATTAAGGAAACGAAACAAAAAGAATATAATCGGTAGTATGTTTTTATACTGGGTCTGATAGTTCTGTTTTTTCTAGAACGATCCCTGTTACTTCTTTGATTCCTATCTGCCAGAAAAATGAACTAAGTCCTAGTGAGTTGGAGAAAATGAACTGATTTTTCATATTTGAGAGGAACTTGTATATGGTAGAACCTACTGGCAACCACGAGGATTCTCTCTCTTTTGTTTTTCTGAGTAAAATAGGAGTGTTGCTTGTTTCACGCTTTCTGACATCATGATTTCATCTATTCCTTTGAAACCTTTCCTCAAATGGATATATAGGAATGTAGGAATTTTCTAGGCAAATACCAAGAAAAAGAGATTCCAGGACAGGTATTCTGTGACATAACCTTCTGACTGTAACCACGTGTAAGACATCAACCCAAATGATAAAAATTTCATATAACGCAGTTGTGTTAGAGGCTCCCCAACGGCACCCAGATTTGATTATTCACTAGAGGAGCTCACAGGACTCAGCATATAGTTATACTCATGCCTTTGGTTTCATATGGAGACAGGCTAGAAAGGCCAATCAGCACAGAGACAAGGTGCATGGGGTGAAGTCCAGAGGAGACCAAGCGCAGGCTTCCAGGAATCCTTTCTCTATGGAGTTAGCAGGATGTGCTTAATTCCTCCAGCATGAAATTAGGACAGCACAAGTGAAATGTTGTCTGCCAGTACGAGGCTTATGGGTACTCAGTGCCCAAGGTTTTCATCAAACGCTAATCACATAGGCATCTTCTCCTTAGCATGTGCCAAAATCCCAGCTTTCCAGACGGAAATCAAGTGTATGGCCTTAAGCACATTGATTGTACCAGCACTTAGGCACAGTGAGCCACTCTTAACCAGCTAGGAAATGGTGGGAACCTTCCTTAAGTCCAAGATCCCAGGGAACAACCAAGGGCCAGTCATTCAAGGAGGATGTTCTGAGGGTAGCCATCTTTGGCCTGCTGGATGAAATCTGTTCTGCATAGGAATTATAGCCCTGACTTAATTTTTGGTGGTGTCTTAAAATTTTATTTTACTAGCAAGTAATATGATGGTTACCATGGTACTGGTTTCAGTTTCATCATCCATATGAAATAGGTATTTGTACAAAAAAGACTAGGGCCATATTAGGTCATTATAATCTTTTTGATGTGATTAAGCTTTCATTATGATTCTTAGATACGATCAACATAATGATTTTTGATTTAAAATTAGAATAAAATCTCTTAATTCTATGGAAAACCCAGGTTTGATTCATATAGCTCTGAATTCCTGTTTATAGTTATATTTGATCATATTCACCAATTGTTTTCTTTCCTAAGTATACAAGTAGCTTTTGTATTTTTGTATTTTGCTTTATGTATTTTCATATAATTCCATATGGGAGACAGTACCCCTACTGTGTTACTTTCATATCTATCTTAATTTTCAAGGTGACTGTATCTTGCATTAATATATGGTAAGAGTAGCTTCAGTGGATACTGTGTTCTGTTGTTGTTCTTTACATTTAATGAGCCTTATTGTTACAGCAGCTTTAAGTTCACAGCAAAATATAATAGAAAGTACAGAGAGTCTCCATATGCCATACCATGCTCCCGTACACGCCTAGCCTCCCCTGTTGTCAACATCTTGCACGACAGTGGTCCATTTTTAGTAGTATCTTTTCTTCAGTTCCTTTGTTTAGTTTTGAGTGAGAGAGCATGCATGCATGTGAGCAGCGAAGGGGCAGAGGGAGAGAGGAGAAAGAATCCTGTGCTGTCAGCACAGAGCCTGATGCAGGACTTGGTCCCATGAACTGTGATATGACCTGAGCTCAGATCCAGACCTGGACGCTGAACCAACTGAGCCACCCAGGCACCCTGAGAACAGTGGTGTGTTTTATACGGACACTAACTCATCATTTTCAGGCAAAGTCTGTAATTTGCGTTAGTGTTCAGCCTTGGTGTTATACATTCTATGAGTTTTAACAAATGTGTAATGATGTGAATCCACCTTTGTGGTATCATGTGAAAGAGTTTCACTGCCTTAAAGGTCCTCTGTGCTGTGCCCCTTTATCCCTACATTCACCCCAACACTTACCTCCATAGTCTTGCTCTTTCCAGAGTGTCATACAGTAAGAATCATACAGTGGGCATCTTGAATGTTTAGAAAATTAAAATTCCTCAGTAATTGAATGTAGGCATTCAAGATATTCTTTGCCCTTGGTTTTGTTTTGTTGCTCATCAGTAGAGGATCTGATGATACATGCCTTCCATGAAAAAAAGCATGATTTCTCTAGATGTGTGTCACCTAATGGGGAGGGTTGAGAAAAATGACATCATGAACCACTACATAGCATTCACATTGGGATCATCCTCCTCTGTGATGTGCGGTGGGACTAGATAGACTCTCTAGCAATGGAAGGAGACAGTCTCAAGAGGTTAGAACTTTATCAAACTGGAATGCCAAATCCTTCTTCCTTAACTTCCCATTGGAAATAAGGCCAGGGAGAGTCTGTTTGCTATGGTTTGGCCATGCTGCAAAGTACAATAGCTATAGAGCACACTTTGTGAGGGGGTGCTTCATCCTAAAACTGAACAGTCTGTACTGAAGGGCTGGGAAAGTTCTGCCGTGTTACAGCAAAATAAAGATACTCTCTTTTAGCTCCTCTAGTAGTGGAAGTCCAGAAAAATCATGCTAGTTTCAGTTTGACATTGTCAGCTTAGGATAATCATTCTCCTAACGATACCATTTTCCTTCAGTGTCATAGAGTCGGTCAGTGATGGTCATTGGGAACATCAGTTCATCTGTAGGTGTCAAATTCCGATAAAACCCATTCTTGCCTTTGGTCAATATAGAGGAGAAAGTAATATTTCTTAGTGCTTTAAGCCTACCAATGGTATAATTACCATTCAGTGTAATGTGGTTTCCAGGTGTGGTCCCAAAGGAATAGTTTTGAACAAATCATTAGCCATACACTTGTAATTTCCTATATTTTTCGATTGTTGATTAAACATGTATTTTGCTTTTTTCTTTAGGAGCAGATAAGAATGCTGAGGAAGACTCTATAACCAGGTAGGATTTTTATGGATTTGTAATCATGACATTTATTGGGGCACCTGGGTGGCTCAGTCGGTTAAGGGTGTGACTCTTGATTTCAACTCGGGTTTGTGAGTTCAAGCCCCACGTCGGGTTTTGCGCTGACAGCCTCCTTGGGATATCTTTTCCTCTTTCTGTGTGCACTCACTCTCACAGTATAAAGGAATGAAATGAAATGAAACGGAAAATGGAAGGAAAGGAAATGAAATGAATGAACTGAAAATGGTGTGTTTCCTAAGGGAACGCAGAGAACAAAAGCAGTTGTTGAGTCTTCTACCCTTGACTGGACATTATATCATATGCATAACATCTGTTAAGTTATATAGTCATTGCATAGCTTTGCAACGTAGCTGTGTTGTTGTAGCCTACTTTTAACTACTCTGGCAACTGTGGTTCAGGGAGGTTGATTACTCACCCCATGATTCCATAGTTAATGAGTAGCTGAGGGGGTTTGGCCATCAGCCTGTGTAGCTTCCACATCTATTCTCTGGTTCCTCAGCAGCACTGAGATGAAGATACAGATCCTAGGACAGATCAACTCAGAATGTCAAAGTTAATGGTGTCGGAACTCTAATTTAGGGTTTCTTAAGAAAGCAGGTTAGTCCAAGCATTTGCCCTTATATGTTTGACCACTAGTGCTAACAAAAGTAATTAGTGCAGTGGTAACTAGTCCCTTGTTTTTACCATCAGAGATTGTAGGGTGGGTGTCAGCTATGGCCATGGTGTCACGCTTTATACATATTAAGCAAAATCTAGTCAGGCAGCTCCTTAGATGTGGTGATATCCCCTCTCCTTGAGACAAATGAGTTTTCTGCAAGGGAAGGATATCTAGTTGTAGACCATGTTACGTTAATTAAATTCAGCCTCTATTTCGAGGATATTGCTCTATGATTCTCTGTTGCCTAGGTTCCCAGTCTGGTTTCCTTTTGGGCTAGTACCCTTGACTAGTTCTAGGAAACTTTTTCTTTTTTTCGAGATTTCTTTCCCCATGACTTTTCTGTACTGTGTTTTGGCCTTTTTACTTTCTTCTCTGGTTTTTTGGTATTTCTTTTTTTTTTCCCATTAACTTTTCCACTTCTGCCAGCTAAGGACTCTCCATTTGTCCAGGCCAAATCAAAAGTACTTAGGATCTCAATATGTAGGTAACCTCAGAGATTACTTCATCAAAATACCCTCTGGTACTTCAACCTATGTTTAACCTCCTTGCCCAATGGTTGTTTACATGGAGAATTTGAAACTCAAAAGAGATTGAAGTGACCTATTTGGATATGATAAGTGACAGAAATGAGATTTAAATTCAGGTTTTCTTTCTTTCTTTCTTTCTTTCTTTCTTTCTTTCTTTCTTTCTTCTTTCTCTCTTTCCTTTCTTTGTTTTTTGTCTTCATCTCGCAGGCAAATGTCTTAATAATAGAAAGCTGGGGAGTGGGTCTAATGAATACAATGAGGATGGTAAGAATCGAATTAGCAGAGGAGATCAGGTTTCAAGAAGAACAACACTGAGTTGGATAGGAATAAGAGTTTTAGAAAGATGTCAGAATATGGGGGTTTATGCCAAGTGACATAAAGATGAATGACAGGAATGAAGGACCCAGGATCAGGGGAGTTGTTTAGAAAGGCATATTCAAATAGAGAGTTCAAGAGGGTCCTGACCAGGTTTCTGCTTTTGTGTGTGTTGGTTTCATTGAAGGTGCGAGCATACCTCAGATTTTCTGATGAGAGAGATTAAAAATCATTTGAGCTGCTGGGAAGAGTCTGTTTACAGCAAATAGAAATATGATATCCTCTACTTCCATCCCCACTTAGGGAGGAAGGCTTAGATCCTCTCAAGGAATTGCGGGGGGGGGGGGTGGTGGAGATTCTGAACTACAGAGATGTATGGCCCAAGACAAGCTGTCCCCTCACCCCACCTGTTTTCCTAAATCTGTGATGCCCTTCCCATGTACCTGTAGAGCTAGGCAGGGGTAGGACTGACTTGTCAAATCAGTAAGGGAGCTTCATCTGGATAGGTGATAACATGCCTATGTTGAGGTAACTGTGTGGATGACGGAGACTCCCAGTTAGCTTGTTTTCCAGGAGCAGGACATGGCTCCTACCCTCGGTCATTTGAGCCCATCCTTGTTGTAGGAGTCTGTGCCTTCATAGGCTAAAGATTGAAAGGTTGGAGAATGTCACTGGACCGTGCCGAAGAGTGATGGAGGAGTGGGAGCTCATAGGGAAGAAAGTATTCAGGCAGCGTAGAGAGAAATGGAGGCACAAATACCAGGACCATTTTGATCGCAGTCTCTCTCCTTGGGTAGCTGAATGCCCCTGAAGGCTTGGAAGGTCTTGCTAGTTCTTATGGACCTCAATAAGGCAAGACCAGTGTAGGAACAAAGTTGGCCTTGGGAACTTTTAATCTTTTAATCTCCAGTTAGTACTTCCACTCATAACATAGAAACCTTCACTTTGGTATATTTACTTAAATGGAGGTCTCCCTGACACACAATGGAATGTGTGATGCAACAACTCTGGATGTTCCACCATGCTCGCCGTGAGTGTCGCTCCCATCTGTTAATGTAGAATGCTATTACGATATCACTGACTAGATTCTCTATGGCGTACCTTTGAGCCTTGTGATTTATTTACTCTGTAACTGGAACCCTGAACTTCCCTTTCCCCTTCACCCATTTTGTTCATCCCCCCTCCTCCCCTCCCTCCTGGCAACAGTCAATTCTCTGCACTTATGGGTCTGTTTCTGCTTTTTCTCTGTTTCTTCATTTGTTCCCCTTTTTAGATTCTACATAGAAGTGAAATCCTATAGGATTTGTCTTTCTCTGTCTGACTTATTTCACTTAGCCTCATACCATCTAGGTATGTCCATGATGTTGCAGATGGCAAGATCTCATTCTGTTTTATAGCTGCGTAATATTCCAGTGTATGTGTGTGTGTGTGTGTGTGTGTGTGTGTGTGTGTGTGTACGTGGTCTGTCCATGTATTGATGGACACTTGGGTTGCTTCCATATCTTGTCTATTGTCAATAATGCTATAATAAAGATAGGGGTGCATATATCTTTTCAAATTAGTATTTCCATTTCCCTTGGGTAAATAAATACCCAGTAGTGGAATTCCTGGATCCTATGTTATTTGTGTTTTTAATTTGTTGAGGCCCCTCCATGCTGGCTTTCGCTGTGGCGATACCAATTTACATCCCATGAGCAGTGCACATGGGTTGTTTCTCTCCACACCCTGAGCAACCCTTGTTGTTTCCTGTGTGTTGAAACTGAGCCATTCTGACAGATGTGAGGTGAGAAGTCATTGTGGTAACTTTTATACATTTAATTTTCAACCATTTCAGGGAATTCCCTGCCTGTCACCCTTGGTTATGGAAACTCAGACTGGGTCTTTCCTGGAGATTTCACAGGTTAGGGGAGGTGGAGGCAAAATAGAGAACTGAAAGCTTTTTTAAAACAGGGTCCAAAGTATGAAAGACCTGTACCCTGGAAACCGTAAAACACTGATGAAAGAAATTGAAGATGACGGAAAGAAAGAGAAAGACATACGATGCTCACAGAATGTAAATAAGAATACATATTTTTAAAGTGTCGGCACTACCCAAAGCGGTCTACCGATGTAATGCAATCCCGGTCAACATACCAACAGCATTTGCCACAGAGCTAGACAAACAATCCTAAACGTTGTATAGAACCACAAAAAACCTTGAATGGCCAAAGCAATATTGCAAAAGAGGAAAACTGGAGGTATCGCAATCTCAGATTTCAAGTTTTATTCCAAAGCTGTAGCAATCCAAACAGTATGGTGGGTACTGGTGTAAAAAATAGCCACACAGCTCAATGGAATAGAACTGAAAACCCAGAAAGAAATCCACAACTGTATGGTCAGTTAATCTTCCACAAACAGGAAAGACTATCCAGTGGGGAAAAGGCAGTCTCTTCACGAAATGGTGTTGGGAAAACTGGACAAGCCACATGCCAAAGGATGAACCTGGACCAATTTCTTTACCATAGACAGAAATAATCTCAAAACGAATTAAAGCCCTAAGTGTGAGACCTGAAACCATAAAAAATCCTAGAAGAGAGCACAGGCTGTCATTTCTCCGACGTTTGGCTGTAGCAACATTTTACTACTTATGTCTCCTGAGCCAAGGGAAACGAAGCAAGAATAAACTATGGGGACTACATCAAACTACAAAGCTTTTGCACAGTGAAGGAAACCATCAAAACTAAAAGGCAACCTCTGGGATGGGAGAACATATTTGCAAATGTTTTGCAAATCCTGTAAAGGGTTAGTATCCCCAGTGTATAAAAACTTGATACAAGTCAACATCCCCCCCTCCAAAAAAGCCCAGTTTAAAAATGAGCAGAAGACATAACCAGACATTTTTCCAAAGTCAACATGCAGATGGTCAACAGACACATGAAAATATGCTCCCCAAAACTACAACGAGATACCACATTCACACCTGTCAGAATGGCTAAACTCCCAGACGCAAGAAGCAAGTGTTTGTGAGGATGTGGAGACAGAGGAAACCTCTTGCACTGTTGGTGGAAATGCAGTGAGTGCGGCCCCTGTGGAAAACAGTATGGAGGTTCCTCAAAAAATTACAAACAGAACTATCCTATGATCCAGTAATTGCACTACTGTATACTACCCAAAAGAATACAAAAACACGAATTCCATGGGACACATGCACCCCTGTGTTTATTGCAGCATTATTTCCAATAGGCAGCGCAAGCGTCCATGGACAAACGAGTGAACGAAGAAGAAGTCCTATATGTATGTATGTGTGTGTATATGTGTATCCATACACACACACACACACACACACACACACACACACACACTGGAATATTACTCAACCATAAAACAATGAAATCTTGTCATTTGCAGTGACCTGGTTGGAGCCCGAGAGTAGTATGGTAAGCAAAGTCAGGGAAAGAAAAATACCATATGATTTTACTCATGTAGCACTTAAGAAACAACAAATGAGCAAAAGGAGAAAAAAAAGGGAGAGACAAACTAAGAAATAGGATCTTAACTGCAGAGAACAAACAGATGGTTCCCAGAGAGGAGGTGAGTGGTGGGAGGGGTGAAAGAGGTGATGGGGATGAAGGAGTGCCCTTGTCATGATGAGCACAGGGTGAGTATGGAGTTGGTGAATCACTATATTCATAAACTAATATAACACTGGATGTTACTATTACTGGAATTAAAGTAAAACTTAATGAAAACAACAGAGGCCAACGTTTAATTATACCAAGAAACTTCGTTGAAGAAACAGATAGCTGACCTTTCCCTTAATTTTTGAAATTTTGTTTTTCAATAAATGAACATGTTTTTGTTGCATATTTTTGCTCTAAAGGCTTTCCGACAAACCTGGTCCTGATTATTCATGGCCTACATCAGCTAGCCAAGACTTCGATTTTGGTACCAAGGTAAAGTACCCTCCTGTGAAACTCACTTTCCTGCTCTGAATTTAGTTTTCTCCCTTATTTACTCTGAAAATTTACACAGTAGCCTGTGTATCATCATTTTATGTGTGTAACGGAAAGTTAGCAAGAACAAACCACTTTACAGATACATGACGCGTTGAATGTTTTGTTTTGTTTTGTTTTCCTTTGGTAAATCCTAGAGGTGGAGGCTGATCAAAGAATGGGCTGGAAAATATATACTGACCGTGAAATTATATTGGGAAAAGCTTTCCCATAATGGAGGAAATATGACATTTGGTTAAGGATAAGGATTCTTACTGTGATACTAACATGACTGATAATACTCATGCCTAAATGAAATCTTATTGGATCCAAGTATCTATTGTAGGTTGCCCTCCACCCCAGGCAATTTTTCTTTTGGTGAGATACAGGATTTTCCTTTGTCTCTATCCTTTGTTCTACATTTAGACTAAAATACTATTAGAAAATGTAGAAATTTAGATGTTTACATTATTTCTCAACATTTACCTTACAAAAGTATTCCCCTGTATTTTTGAAATAACTCCACGAAGAGTAAGTTACAATTGTGCATCTCCCTGAAGAATACGTATTTTGCTGAAAAGAGTAGCTCTATGAGCAGAGGCTCTTCATAGCCAAGTTGTCAAATTTCTAATTTCAGAAATCTTTCCTATTCTAGCTTTTAAAACTATCTCCTCCTAGTCCTTGTGTCAGATTCTAAAATTTAAAGTTTCAGACATCTGATATTTATTTAAATATTCATTCCAAAGCCCCTAAATCATTATAAGCTACTGGAGGTTAGGAAACATACTTGTTTGACTCCTGGAGCTCCTAGAATAAAATCTTGCTTGGAAGAAGCAATGTCATAGCTTTTGAATGTGAATAAATGAGTAGGGAAATGGAATTCTGTAGAATGGAATTTCAAAGTAACGAAATACACATGCTATGTCACAATTAAATATGTGAATTTAAAAAGTAAGTCTTCAGTTTATATTCCGTTTTGGTGTTTTATATGTAAAAACGCAAATGAATTATATTGAGGAAATCAGGAGTTACATAAGAAAGAAGGTTACAGTATATTTTTAGTATCCTCCCATTGTGAGCTTAGAATTGCAGAGAAAAACTCCTCAGCCTTTGTTTTGTTAACCCCATCCGTGTCCCATTACATACATCCTTTGAAGGTTCACATTTCTTCCTAGAATTCTCATTCCCAATTCTTCCTCCATAGTGAAAGTTGATGTGTTAGGAACCTTTCTTGTTCTGTTCTTTTGTTAGTGTAGTAGTAATTTATAGCTCTTAGGAAGTGATAGATGCCAGTAACTGAACAATTTATTTTAGAGTGAAAAAAATTAAATTCTTCATTACAGTATTTATAACTAGATAACTGTAGAGTGATAAAAGTCAGTATTATTAGGGGTATTCTGTGAATCAAAGACTGTTTTATGTACACATCATAAATCATATATATATCATATATACATATGTATATATATATATACATATACATATATGCATATATATATATACACACATATATCTTTAAAAGGGTTAAAAGAGACTATTGTCCATAGTATATTCCCAATCCTACCTATGTACCTGTTGAAAAATGTATGTTGTTTCCACTTACCTTATTTTGCTCACATTTTTCCTTTTCTTCCTTGTCTTAAGCTCATGCTTGATTGATTGGTCATGTCTTTTTTTTTTTTTTTTCCTTTTTTCCTCTTCTCCCCCCATGCTTTTTAAGGTATTTTTTAAATTTTTTTAAGTTTATTTTTTGGAGAGAGAGAGAAAGAGAGAGAGAGAGAGCTAGCAGGGTAGGGGCAGGGACAAAGGGAGACACAGAATCCAAAGCATGCTCAAGGCTCTGAGCTGTCAACACAGAGCTCACTGTGGGGCTCAAACCCACAATCCGTGAGAACATGACTCATGAGCTGAAGGTGGACGCTGAACTGACTGACCCACCTACGTGTTCCCACCACCATGCTCTTTTTTGATCGTCTACCCCTAGCCTAATGTTTCCTTGCAGAAACCATTTCTTTAGTGTCTGTTCTTTTAGTCCATCACTTTCTGTGAACTCCATTGTCAACATATTGGTTATGGAATTCTACTGTCTGTGTGTGGTTTTCATCCATGACTCATTGCCCCACAAGGTTTATTATTCTTTTTTTCTCTATCCTGGAAGGAGGTGAGCTAAATGTTTTTGTAATGTTTGTATTTCTCTTGGAAAGGGAGGGAGAGAGGGAAAGAATGAGCAAGTGCTCGTTGTTGTGATCTGAAAATATGCAAGGTATGATCTCAGTTCTTTTATATTTGTGGAGGGCTGTTTTGTGACCCAGGATGTCCTTGATATTGGAGAATGTTCTATATGCACTTAAGAAGAATGTGCATTCTACTGCTGTTAAATGAAAAGATCTCACTACATGTGTATTGATATCCATGTATATAAATGTATATGTTAAGTCCAATATATATGTATATCTGAATACATCTGGTCCAATGACACATTGGATCTGTGTTTTCTTACTGATTTTCTACCTTGATGATCCGCCTGTTGCCATGCGTGGAGTCTTAAAGTCGGCTACAATCATGGTATTTGTATGTATACCTTTATTCATGTTTGTGATGAATGGATTCATCTCTGTGGGCCTTTCACTTTGGGGACATGAACATTTGCGATTGTTAGCTCCTCTTGATGGATAGACCCCTTAATTATGATAAAATGCCCTTCTGAATCTGTTACTACAGTCTTTGGTTTAAAATCTAGTCTGTCTGGTGGAAGTATGGCAACTACAGCTTTCTTTTGACTTCTAGTAGCATGATAGGTGGCTCCCATTACCTTCACTTTGAATCTGGAGGTGTCCTGGGGTGTAAAATCAGTGTCTTGTTGACAGCATATAGATGGATCTTGTTCTTTGGTTTTGTTTTGTGTTTTATCCATTCTGATTCCCTGTGTCTTTTGATTGGGGCATTGAGTGCATTCACATTCAGAGTGATTAAAGATACGGATTTAGTGTCTTTGTGTTATCTGAAGGTTTCATGCTTTAGGTGAGGCCTCTGATCCTTTGTAGTCTCTGCTGCTTTCCACTCACAGAGTGGCCCCTTAGGATCTCCTGCAGGGCTGGTTTAGTGGTCATGAACTCCATTAGGTTTTGTCTGTCTGGGAAAGCCTTTGTCTCTCTTTCTATTCTAAATGACAGCCTTGCTGGGGAAAGGATTCTTCGCTGCATATGTTCCCATCCAGCACATTGACCGTTTCCTACCCCTCCCTTCTGCCCTGCCAAGTTTCATGGGACAGGTCTGCTGCTACCCTTATGTGTCTTCCCTTGTAGATTAAGTAAGACCCGTTTGTCCCTAGCTGCTTTCAGAATTCTCTCTTTATCTTTGTAGTTTTCCGGTTTCGCTATGACATGTCATGGTGTTGACCTGGTTTTGTTGATTTGGAAGGGAATTCTCTGTGCCGCTAGGACTTGGATGCCTGTTTCCTTCCCCAGATGAGGGAAGTTCTCAGCTCTAAGTTGTTCAAATAAACCTTCTACCCCTTTCGCTCACTCTTCTTCTTCTGGGACTCCTGTGATGTGGCTATTACTTCATCTCACCGAATCACTTAGGTCTCTGGTACCTGCCTCGTAGTCTAGTAATTTCCTTTCTTTCCTTTCTCTGCTTCATCTTTGTCCATAATTGTATCTTCTATTTCACCTATTCTGTCTGCTGCTTCTCCCATCCTTGCTGTCACTGCATCTAGTTTATTTTGTATCTCCTTTACAACATTTCATTTTCAGCATTCATCGTGATGATTCGTTAGTTCCTTCATCTCTGAAGCAGCTTGGTTTCAAGCCCAGCTATGAGTCTTCTGAGTGTTATTCCAAAACCTTGATGAGATATATGGTTTCTATCTCTTTCGAGCACTTCTCTGGCTGTCTTTCTTTGTGGAATTTTTTTTTGAGGAGAATTCTTCTGATTTGTCGTTTTGGCTAGCTTCCTGTCCTTTATGTGTTTTACTAGCTTGTTCTGTGTCCCACACCTGCGAGTACTACCATATTACAAAGGGGTCCTACACTCTCCAGGGCCTGACAGTTGAACACGTGTTTTTGGAGTGTGTCGTGTGCACTCTGTTGGTGCGTCTTTGGCTGCTTTTCTCGCTACTTGGAGTGGTGGTTTGGGCCTTCCACCAGGTGTGCTTTGATTTGTTTGTTGAAGTAATCCTGGAAAAAAGGAGAAGAGGGTGGTGAAGAATCCTTAGCCCAAAGAAGAGAGAAATGACAGGAGTGGACAAAAAGACGAGGCAGTGACTCAAAGGAGCTGTAGTGCTTAATCCAGAAAGAGAGGGAGGAAAATGAAGAAGGAGACCTGGAAAAGTATAGAGAACGTGCCTGATGAAACCAACAAACAAAGAACCGAACAGAAGAACAAAGGGAAAATATAAATATATATAAATAGCTTTGACCCAAAGTCAACCCGAGACTACTAGGCTGATTCCCAAGGGAGAAGAGGAAAGAGGAGAGTAGAAAGAGAAAAAAGGGAAAAGAGAAGAAAGGGAAAGAAAAGGAAAGAAAAGATGGGCTCCTGGGTGGCTCAGTTGGTGAAGCCTCTGACTCTTGAATTTGGCCCAGGTCATGTTGTCGCTGTAGGTGGGTTTGAAACACGCATCAGGCTCTGCAATGAAAGCATGGATCCTGCTCGAATTCTCTCTCTCTCCCTCTGTCGGCACCTCTCCTGCTTGATCACTGTCTCTCTCTCTCTCTCAAAATAAAGAAATAAGCATTAAAAACGAAAAGAAAAAAAGAATAATAATTCAAATGAAAACAAACAAACAAACAAACAAAGATAGAAAACCAGAGGAGCGTTGTCTATTGGTGCCTGGGACTGGTGGCTGTGCTGGTCTAGGGGAGGGGCTGTCTGGTCCCATCAGTGTCAGTCTCACTCCCATAGAGAAGCAGTTACCAGGCACAGAGAGGCAGGGTTTGGTGTAATAGGCCTGGCTCCACTGAGGCTCACTGTCCGTTCCCTGAAGCCCCACGATATTGGTCATGGGAAGAGAAATGGCGACACCCCAGTCTCTCTTGCCCACACGAGGTGTCTCAAAACTCACTGTTCAGGCCATCCTCACAGAATATCCTGGGGGGCCAGCTTGCCTTGCTGCACAGTCTCCTGTGCTCCCTGAGCGCTGAGCTGGGATTCAAAACCCTGTAGGATCCCGCTTTGCTCAGACGTGGTTCTGGAGTAGCGCCACTCTGCGCAGTGGACAAAGGGCCTCTGGCTCGTGCTTGCAGGTTCTTTTTCCCTTGGGGAGGGCAATACCTCTTTCTACCATACTCAAGGTGTTCTCTCCCAGTGTTTCCCTGAGAGCCTAGGGGTGGCTCCCTCCCCACCAGGCATGGGAGGTGGCAGCTCTGGTCTAGAGAAAGTCTGGCAACCTTGAAAATTCTGTTTTTTAGCTCCTAAGGCTGTTTTGCAAAGTAGAAACTGGCTCTCTGGACATCTCCTTGGTCTGTGGTCTGGACAGGTTTTCTCATATCCAAATACACTTCCCACAGCCTCTCTCTCTCTCTTCCTTTTGTTTCTCCACCAAAGGGCTTCCCCCACTCCATGCCTGCGCTGCCCATTTTATTTCTCCCAACTCGCATACACACCGTTCTGTCCCGCCAAGCTGTCTCTTTGCACCTGTGGAGATTTTCCTGTCCCTCTGCAGCCTGTATTGCTGGTATTCCAAGTGTTGTGACCTCAATACTGCTGTGTTTGAGGGACAAGGGAAATGCTGATCCCCCTCCTCTGCCATCTTAACTCCTCCCGCCTCCTTTTACTTTCCTTTTCACAATTTCACAGTTCTGTGTAGGATTGCATTAGTCTATCAGTTTAATATGTTTTATAGATATTTACGATGGCCTTTTCTTACTTGAACTTCATTGATCTCAATTTTCTTTTTGTTTTTTTAAAGTTTATTCATTTATTAATTGGAGAGAGAGAGAGACAGAGAGAGCACACGTGGGGAGGGGTAGAGAGACAGAGGGTGAGAGAGAAAATCCCAAGCAGACCCTGCACTGTCAGCGCAGAACCAGACGGGGGGCTTGAACCCTTGAACTGTGAGATCATGACCGGAGCCAAAATCAAGAGTCAGGTGCTAACTGAATGAGGCATTCAGGCGGCCCTAGCATTTGCTTTGGAAGTCCCCTGGGCACTTTAAATTTAATATGCCCTAGTTTCAAGACATTGTTTCTGACCCTTTCCCTTTCCTCTTTCCTGACTCTTTGTAATCTGCTCTGTCCTTTGTGTTCCCTAGCCTCAAAAATAGCAGCCCTGAAACAGGAAAAGTCCTGGACTCTCCAAACTCCCCTGAAATGACCGCATCCAGTCACTCACAACATTCGATATTTTGTACCTGCTTACCATTTTTCATATGTTATTCCCGTAATTCACTCGCTCACCTCTAATTTTGCAGTTCTCTTCTGGTGTTGCTTCCTTTATGTTCATCCTACATTGCTGCCAGAGTGACCTTTCTAAAATATACTTGTGACGATGTCACTCCTCTGCTTATCCAATGGATCCCCATTACCTGAAGGAGAAAATTCATGTTCTAGCATAACAGTGCTCTTTTTTCTTTTTTCTTTCTTTTTTTTTTTTTTTGTTTTCGTCCTGATGTTCCAGTAATATCTCTCTATCTATCCCATTCCCAATAACTCTGTTCCAGTTTTGCCATATTGCATAGGTGTTGTCACTTACTATGTTATTTCATAGTTGATCCTTTTTCTCATTCTAGAATGCCCTTCACACCCTCCCCGTGCACTTTGTCTGTCTTTTAAGATACAGCCCTATCTTCCCAGCTGATCTGGGAAGTTTGCTGAGCTTCCCAAATGTAAGTGTTTTCTCCTTTGTGCGTTCACTGTACGTGATTCACTTCCCTTGCAGAACTAGTGGATGGTATTGTTCTGTCCTTACCTGTTTTCATGCATCTCTACCGCTACTAGCGTATAGAACAGACTCTGTCTTTTATTTATATTTCCAGCTCGTCCCCGGATCGTGGCTATGACTTGACAGATACAGTATGTGCTTGTCTTTCTGAGTGGGTGAGTGCTTGACCAAATGAATTAATGTGATGTTTTTCTGAAGTTGGGTTTTTGTTTTGTGATGTTTTTCTAGGAAGGAACAGCAAAGTCAGCAATGGAAGCAAAGCAAGATGGTGTTGGTATTATTGAAAATGTGCCACCAGAGCAAACAGTTAATGACAGTTTGCCTTCTGCTGGTGGAGTGCATAAAAATTACAGAAGCGGTAAGCTAGTGAATCTCTGTGAGTTGTTTTCCTATGATTAAATGCTAGTATGAGAAAAATCTGAAAGTATGTAGATCCAAATATATTATCCTTTTTTCCTGAAGATATTTTTCTGTTGCTATCTTTCTTTACAAGTATCCCAAGTATTGCCCCCTTTTGCTTCCGGAAAATCTTGAACCCCCTGAACATCTTTTCTGCTATTGCTTTTATTTTCTTGAAATAGTCATGAATGGAGATAGACTTGTGTCTGTGTTTACAATTCATAGTAACACATGTTTTGTCTGTAACACATTAATTTATCTGTGACCGTATCCTATAGATATGATGTCAGCATTAGAATTGGGAGAAGAGGAAGATGTAGAATCACCTTCTCTTCCTGAGGTACTGTCTTCTTCTTATTTTTAAGTATAAGCATGGAGGAGTGATGTTAAAACGTCCACGAGGTGCTTTGACTTTGACTTTTGGATAATTAAAATAACATCGCAGTCATACTTGCAGTAATATAAGTAAAGTAATGATGACCTATTCTAAGGTGACAACTAGGGAAGGAGGTAAAAAGGTCCTGATCTCTTAGGCCCAGGCAGCTGCTGCATAATGCTGCAAGCGCTGTATTTGAAATCAAAGGACATGCTAGCATCTTGGTTCCATCACCTCCTAGCTGTGGGAACTTGGAAAAACTTGCTTGAATGCCAATGACCTCGTTCCTAAAAATGGCACTAATACCCACCTCTTGGTTATGTGTAATGAACAAGTGTGGCAACGTTTTGTAACCTGTAAAGGGTGCTATAGAAATAGAAGACAAAATGATCACAGTGGCATGTATTGACTTAGTAAATATTGAGGATGGTTTTTTTTTTGGTGAATGTTTGTTTATTGTTGAGAGGGGGTGGGGGGACAGAAGATCCGAAGCAGGCTCTGCACTGAGAGCAAGGAGCCCAATGCAGGACTTGAACTCAGGAACTGTGAGAACATGAGCTGAGCCAAAGTTGGGCGCCTAATTGACTAAGTCACCCAGGCCCCCCAAGAATACTTGTTTTAAATGTGACGATGTCTGAAGGCCAATAAAATGGCAGTAGTGTCCAGAAAAGAATGGGGAAGTAGGAATGGGTGTTTGATTTTCTAATCTGGGGCTATGTGAAGTTCCTGTAATCTCTTAGTGGAGGCATCATATAGGTATACAGTTGACCCTTGAACCAGATGGGTTTGGACTGTGGGAGTCCACTTACACACAGATATTTTTCAGTAAATAGAGTACCATCCTGTAAATGTATTTTCTGTTCCTTATGATTTCTTTTTCTTTTCATTATTTCTTTTGAGAGAGAGAGTGAGGAAAGAGCACGTGGGTAGGTGAGGGCAGGGTGAGAGAGAGAATCTTAAGCCGATTCACACTGCCAGCGCATTTCTTTCTCTTTGATATTAATTGATTTGGCTGCTAATAATTTCATGTTTTCCAATTCTCTAGTTATTAATCTTTAAAAAGTACTCAAATGCACTTTAGTGCTCGTTATAAGGAATGGTAAGCTAAATAGTTTTTAAGGTTTGTAACATTAAAAATCATCTAACTTAATTTTTTGGTCGATTTAACATGTAATGAATTGTTTAGTTCCAAGAACTGACAAGCTTAAGTTTATGAGTTCATATTTTCCTTCTGTCTTAGGCTAAGGCAAGTTAGTTTTCACTTCTTACAGGAAGTTACAATCCAGTGACTTGGGAACAACTAAACATAGATTAAGAAAGTTAACAGTAAAATTGTAATTATTTTCTCATTTTTCTTTGTCTGTACTTGATTACTTAAGGATAAGGTGTTTTTACAAACATGTATCCTGGCAGAAAATTCATGTGCAAATCCAAACAAGGAAATTAACCATACGTTTTTGCAACTGCAAAAAGTGACTCAAGAACCAGCAATGGATAAGGAATGTGATAGGGAGCATGATATATCTGTATATTTAAGACACGCTTCTATGCAAAACTTTGAGGAAATGTGGATCAAATAAGGCAAATTGGACTGGAAAAAGACCTGAAAACTCATCAACAGTGAGTGAAAGCAGAAGTTTGGTGAAATTTGTTAACCATACAGCATTCCTACTCATCTTGAAGAAGAACCACCACAGGGTCACTCTAACAAGGAACCAACTGAAAGGAAATGCCTTCGAATTGGTAATATACGGAAGAAGATGCATTTGGAGTGTCTGTCTCGGTAGTATTTCAGGCATTTCCTGAACAAAAAGAGCCTAGTCTTGAAAATGTCCTTCTCTCTCATTCATCCTCTGGGTCCCCAGAATATGCTTGCCAGTCATCTTCTAAACTTTCTTTAAATGAAAGCAAATCATCAGGGACATATAAATCAAAACCACACTGAGATATCACCTCACACCGGTCAAGAGTGGCTAAATGAACAAATCGGGAGACTATGGATGCTGGCGAGGATTGTGGAGAAACAAGAACCCTCTTGCACTGTTGGTGGAAATGCAAACTGGTGCAGCCACTCTGGAAAAAAGTGTGGAGGTTCCTCAAAAAATGAAAAATAGATCTACCCTATGACCCAGCAATAACACTGCTAGGAATTTGCCCAAGGGATACAGGAGTGCTGATGCGTAGGGGCACTTGTAACCCTATGTTTATAGCAGCACTTCCTTTTTTTTTCTTTTTTTTTAACGTTTTTATTTATTTTAGAGACAGAGAGAGACAGAGCATGAGCAGGGGAGGGGCAGAGAGAGAGGGAGACACAGAATCCGAAGCAGGCTCCAGGCTCTGAGCTGTCAGCACAGAGCCTGACGTGGGGCTCGAACCCACAGACTGTGAGATCATGACCTGAGCTGAAGTCAGACGTTTAACTGACTGAGCCACCCAGGTGCCCCTATAGCAGCACTTTCAACAATCGCCAAATTATGGAAAGAGTCTAAATGTCCATCACCCGACGAATGGATAAAGAAATTGTGGTTTATATACACAATGGAATACTACTTGGCCATGAGAAAGAATGAAATATGGTCTTTTGTAGCAACGTGGATGGAAGTGGAGAGGGTGACGCTAAGTGAAATAAGTCATACAGAGAAAGACTGATACCATATGTTTTCACTCTTTTGTGTTTCCTGAGAAACTTAACAGAAGACCATGGGGGAGGGGAAGTGAAAAAAAAAAACAACAACAAAAACAACCTTAGAGAGGGAGACAGCCAAACCATAAGAGACTCTTACAAACTGAGAATAAACTGAGGATTGATGGGGGATGGGAGGGAAGGATGGGTGGGTGATGGGCACTGAGGAGGGCACCTGTTGGGATGAACACTGGGTGTTGTATGGAAACCAATTTGACAATAAATTTCATATTAAGAAAGAAAGAAAGAAAGAAAGAAAGAAAGAAAGAAAGAACATCAGACTATGAAAATGAGAACAAACCAGACATTGAGCATCTTTTTAACAACAATGAGGATTTTTAAAATGATATAGAAAATAAAAAAAGCAAGGATCCCACTAGTTACATTTAAAGTGAAAGAAGGCCAAGAGTTTGACATTCAAATGGCAAAAAATATGGACCAAAATACCACCGATTGTAAATTAGACCTCAGTCTAGTGATTCAGAGAGCCTTTTTGATTTGTGGCTTGCCTGCTGCGATGTGATGAAACGCACGGTTCAAACAAAAAGGGATGATATTTCTGCTGTCACAAACACTTACGAGAAAACAAACCAGTACAAGACTTTTTTCCAGAAGCCATTATATGCAGATAATGCCAGTACTCATAACTATAAAAGTATTGATTCTGAATTAGAAATCGTGAGTTCTTCTTCAGCATCTAGTTTCCCAGCATCTGAAGTATATCTAAGTGAAGACTTACATCAAGATATGCAAAGGTTTAAGAATGAGATAGGCATGTCACAAGTAGAGTTCCTGTCTTTGGAAAGAGAGAAAGTTCAACCTGCAAAAGAGATAGAGGTCCACCTTGCTGTTACTCTTGTTTTTTCTCTTTAGCAATTATCTAATCCATTCTGATTTTGCACTCAAGAGAACAAGAGTGTGCATATGATGGAATTGTCTAAATAAGTAATTGTGTCTGGAAATAGATTATTTCTGCTATCTAACAAATAGGAGTTCAGGAAAACATTCTTATGATTTGTTTTCCTTGAAGTTTCTCTGTCAGTCTTCCAAGTAGTATATGAACTGGGAAACTAACTTAGCTATGTAAGTACCATGTGACCTCATGAACCAGAATAAACATAAAGAAACTGCTTAAAAAACATAATAATCTCCAGGTTTTTTAAAAAACATATTGGCGTAAATATAAATTGCATTTCCATAAACAATAAAATGGGAAAGAAGCAATAACTAAGAGAAGGAAGATACACAAATGTTCCCAGCTAAGGCAATCTATTTATTGCTTCAGTGTGTGTCTGTAGACTCTGGGTCTAGGGTTCTTGCCTGTCTAGCAAGACAGCAGCGGGATGCAGGCTTACAATGGGAGAGACGGCTAATGTCCCGGAGAACACAGGAGCCCAGATTAAGGGTCCTTGCTCTGTTTTTATTAGGATCAGAAGGCTTCCAAACATGGTGATGGACGTGCCCAAAGACACAATCAATCTGTGAACATGAACTCATGGGCATGAGGGAAAGGGGGTTTGAAGATATAGGGTGTTAGGTGTTTGGGTCAATATAAAACAAAATCCTGGCACCTGGCAGATGGTTGTTAACAGCAGACCTGAGGCAGCTTCTCTGTTTATCTTAGCTAGTCTAGGGGAGAAGAAGGATGCTACCTCAGGATCCACAAGGCACCTTTCTTTTGCTAATTAGCTCCCCTCTGGGCATCTTCACCCTGCAGCCTACCGCCTATAGCCCTATTTACCTGTTTACCTAATTTGGTCCTTCCTTCCTGTGAAAGCAGCTTTCTGCCATAGTACTAAACTGGGGAGTGTGTCCTCCTGCATATCTAATCTGGTTTCCCTCACACGCCTTTGCCCCGCCCTCTCTCTACTTAGTTACCTAATCTTGTTTACCCAAACTTGGGTGTAAGCATCCTATGGCTTTGTAATTTTTTATGCCTGGTTAACCCATCAGTGCAGGCTCAGGGAATTCCTAAGCTTATTGCCCACAAATATATGCAGTCTTGTCTGCTTTACTCACAATCTTGGAACTTAGAATTTCAACATGACCCCTTTGACATAGGCTTAATAACAGCTATTTGTATTATCACCGCTTTTTTCCCCACATTTTTAAAATCATCATTCTCAGATGTCTCTGTTGAGTCAAACCTTCACTTTATGTTCAATAAAGTATGATACCTTTTGGCCTGTATGATTTTTACCGTGTAGGTAGCATAAACCTTCAGCAAAGCTTCAGTATTGAACTCCAAGGGAGAAAACTGAGTTTTGAGATGTGTGGAGTTTAGAAATAGACAAAACCTAGAGATAGCCTCCTTTAGAAGAATAAGGAGCTAATCCCCTCGTCCCCTATCAAGGTATTAATTTACTGTGCCAAAGTCACACTCTTCATGCATCTGATTAACTTAATGAATTTGTGGTCATTTCTCTGAGTCAGCATTCAAGAATTTATCATCTCTTTTGGCACCATAAAATGCTAGGTAATGCCACTTTAGGAACTTGGGACAAATCATTTAACCTTTTTGAGTTTTACTCGCGTTATCAGTAGCAAATGGAATTAAAGGTGATCATTACGTTTATACCCTCTCCTTATAAAATGTTATGGTTATTGAATGTGAGATTCGGAGAGCATTACTAATTTCCCAGAATTGCACCCTAACGTCCATTTCACTTTGTTCCTTTTGTGTTGTGGCAAACTTTGGTTCATAAATTTTAGGGGACACTGTCACTTTTTTGAGAACCTTAGGATCCAAAAGAAAAAGAATTGTAAAAGGCAGTCAGGGAAAGAATAGCTCCGTGCAGAAAGAGGAAAGCTCCCTGTTTTTGTTACTGGAGCACCTCCATGTCTCATGTTTTAAACGTGGCTGTTGTGTAAAACCCAGGTGGTAAGGATAGAAAAGGACAAATTTTGTCTTTTGTCTTTTTATTTCTTTGTATCTCTTGGTCAGATGGGGTGGGGGTGGGTGGGGAATTCTCGGTAGCAAAGTGTGGATATGAATAAGAGTACAAAATTAAGAAAGCCCTTTTAGAAATATTGGTAACTTCTGCTTTTTTAAAAATTTCAACAGAAATGAAGCAGAGTTTATAAAAATTACAGTTACTTGTAATGATAAAGTAAACAGAAAATATTTTCCTCCATTGAATTTATGACAAACTAAGTGTCAGCTGATAAAATTAATGAAAAAAACTTCTTTTTATTGACTAAAGTAACAATTACCTTTAGTGTCAAGTTCCATTAAAGGTTGAAGAAAAAAAGAAGCACAGAGGAAGTGACATGGAAGTATCAGAAAACATACATGATGCTGCGGCTGCTGGATTAATACCACAAAGACAGAATGGAAAAACTGATAACCACCCATTGCCTATTACAGAAAAAAAAGATTCTGATAGGTAAGCCTATAGCAATATTTAAATAGTAGGTAATTGTTATTTTCGTATGCAACAAACTTTTCTAGTTTGAGCTAATGTTCATGATGAACACATTTCGTATTTTTCGTGGAGATATTTCATCCTACGTGCTAATGAGAAAAATGTAAATACCAACGAGATACCATTTTTTGCGGTCATAGTATTTTATTGAAATAAATAAATATTTATTTTTGCGGTCATAAATATTTTATTGAAAAAATAATCAAAGTTAGGAAATGTGAGGAAAATGACATTCTTAGACACTGTGGCTGGATGAAATTGGTAACTCCTTTTTGAAAGGTGATTTAATGGTGTATTTCAAAATTTCAAATATGTCGGGGCACCTGGGTGGCTCAGTTGGTTAAGCGTCCAACTTCGGCTCAGGTCATGATCTTGCACTTCACGAGCTTGAGCCTTGTGTCAGGCTCTGTGCTAACAGCTCAGAGCTTGGAGCCTGCTTCAGATTCTGTGTCTCCCTCTCTCTCTGCCCCTCCCCTGCTTGTGCTCTGTCTCTGTCACTGTCAAAAATAAATAATATAACATGAGAAAAATATTTCAGGTAGGTCATCCCTTTATTCCAATGGTTTCGTTGCCAGGACTGGGTCCTTCTGAAATACGTGACTTCTATAAGCAAGCGCGTGCGCCTGTGTGTGCAAACACACACACACACACACACACACACACACACACTGTAAGGACATTTATTATATATTATTACATATACAAAATAGGACAGATATATTAAGGTTACTTATATAAATACGTTACATGTATATGTGAAGGATATTTATTATAGCATTCCCATATCAAACATTTGGAGATAGTCTAAATGTTTATTTACTTATTTTGAGAGACAGACAGAGAATGTGCACACTCAGGAGCCCAAGCACCAAGGTGGGGCAGAGACTGAGGGGGAGAGAGAGAGAGAATCCCAAGCAGACTCCACGTTAACAGTGCAGAGGCCAACACAGGGCTCGATCTCACGACCACAAGATCATGACCTGAGCCAACATCAACAGTCGGATGCTCACCAGACTGAGCCACCTAGGTGCCCCAGAGATAGGCTAAATATCCATTCATTAATAAGGAAGTTAAGTTTCACTTCTATATAGTAATGGAATATGTGACCATTATAAAAAATGAATTTAGGTCTATGTGTCCTGATGGTTTAACAAAGTATATTAAAAACATTTGGCTTGGTTTGATGTCATGTCTTATGCACATTTTGTTAGAATACTTTTAATATCTACTGAATTGCAAAAGGAAGTCCCCTGCTACACTGGCAGTCTACTTCATTACCAACAAAATTGCTAGTTATTAGATTTTTGGTTTTGTTTCCCAGTGCATGAGTGCTCCAATGTTGGACCCTCAGCTTCATCTGAATATTGCCAAGAGGTTTCACGTGGCAACATCTCTCATATTCTATATAAACATTTCATGACCCCTGTGCTATAAACCAAGATGCTGATAATGCAATGAATCGTTTTCATAAAGGTACTTTGCTTGCATGCCATTATCCTGCCTTTTTAGAGAATATATGTCAACATGCACCACACCAAATTTTTCAACAGTGCCTTCATGTTATATAATTGATGACAATTCAGTTTACAAAGTAGGACTATTTTCTGCATTCCCACCCCCTTTTACTTCTGTGTATAAAATTTTAATGTGACTAATTACTTTGGATAGTATATAATAGCCTGGAGTTAGGTGACTTTTTAAAAGTGTTTATTTTGAGAGAGAGAGCGAGCAACCATGCACACATGAGTGGGGGAGGGGCAAAGAGAGAGAGGGAAAGAGACAATCCCAAGGAGGCTCCGTGCTGTCAGTGCAGAGCTCGATGCTAGAGATCCTAGAGATCATGATCTGAGCCGAAATCAAGAGCTGGATGCTTCATGGACTGGGCCACCCAGGTGCCCTTAGAGTTCAATAATTTTTATCAAGCACAAAATACTGCCCTTGAAACTTAGTTTTTCCGTGGTCTTTCTAAGCATGAGAAAAAGGGTAATCAGCTTATATTATATTATATATCTAGAAAAATTTTAAGGAGTCTTCTCATTGTATAATTTTGTGAGTTATTTAGTACCTTGGTGTGGCATTTAAAAAAAGCAAAAAAAAAAAAAAACCCAAAAAACTAGTGTTACATATATGCAATTTTTAAGACTTCCAAATATTACAAATTACTACCTAATCATTATGTAACAATTGAAAACTACAGCAATAATAGAAAATTAGATCAACCATGACCATTTCACTTAGCTATGAAATCCTTCAAAAGCCTTCTTCACTCTTTGATCCTGATTTCCCTCCCTCCCATCCACTCTTGAATTCATTGTAGCAATTTTCCCTCTCCCTCCTCCAGAATTGTTTTTTCAAGGTTACCACCGATTTTCACTTTACTAAATCTAAACATAATTTCATACATCTCATTTGACTTAACCTTTCAGCAATATTTGACCCAATGGAAAACTCTCTCCTCCCAAATTCTGTCTCCATGTTGCTTGTAAGATATCACTCACTTACCTGATTTTGCCGCTGCCTTTCTAGTCTGTACACCTCAGCCTGATTTGCTTGTTTCTCCTCGTCCCCCACCTTTTAACCCATTGATGTCTTCCAGGAATTGGCCTTTGATTTTCCTTCTCTTGACTTTTACTATCTTGTATATTCTAATGATCCTCAAGTTTATATCTCCAGCCTGGATCTCTCTCCATAATTCCAGGCCCGCATATCAAACTGCCTACTTGATACCTCTTTCTGGATAGCTATTGCAAACTTAACATGTCCCAAATTGAACTCCTGATATTCTTTCTTAATATTTGCCTTTCATGTCTTTCCTAATTGGTTCAATAACAGTTCTATGAGTTGCTCTGTTAAAAAACTTGGTATCATCCTTGAGTCCTGTCTTTTTCTTTTTCTTTTTTTTCTTTTTCTTTTTCTTTTTCTTTTTTTCTCTTTCTCTTTCTCTTTCTCTTTCTCTTTCTCTTTCTCTTTTTCTTTTTCTTTTTCTTTCTCTTTTTCTTTCTCTTTTCTTTTTCTTTTTCATACACATCACATCTCATCTGTCAGTGAATCTTGTCCGGTCTTCCTTCAAATATATCCAGAATCCAAACACATCTTCCATGACCAAGAGACTATCATCTGTTGTTTATATTGGAGTGCTAGGTAACTAACTGGTCTTCTTGTTTGTTTGTTTCTTCTCTTGTTTTACCTGTTTCCGTTAATTCTAAACACATTAGATCTAGTAAAACGTAAGTCAGATTGTGTCCTTCCTCTGCTCAAAGCCTAATAGCCTCCCATTTCACTCAGAGTACATGCCAAAACGCTTCCTAATGCCAACAAGGCCTATATATGATCAGGTGTCTCCTCCTCTCTCTCTCTGATTTGAACTCTTTTCTACCCCTTTCATTCTGTCCAGCCATACTGAATTTCTCACTACTCTTTCAGCACTTCGGACATACTTCTGTACTTGCTGTTGACTCTATCTGGAATGCTTTCCCTCAGATACCTCATGGCTTGCTTTTTCCTTTTTCGTTTGTTTTTTTCTTTCAGGTTTGTGCTTAACAGTCACTTTCTCAGCAAGGCCTTTCTTGGCCATCCTGACTAGTACTTCAACTACCCTTTTCCCTATAACACCTCAAAATGTGATTTCTCTGCTTTAGTTTTTCTCCTCTAATACTGTGTGTTTGGCCTGTGTAGCTTATTGTTATTGTAGGTTTACTTCACTCATGAGTAGGATTGTTATCTGTTCATTGCCATGTCCTCAGTGCCTAGAAAATGTTCTAGTCTATATAGTACTTATTCAGTAATGTTTATTGAGTGAACGGAGTTTAACCTGTGTGTATTGTTTTTAACATAATACTTAGTCCTCACTTTTACAAAGTTTGGCGTGGGCTCATTCTGACAACTAAACCTGCCAGTTATATACATTTTTTGGATTTTGGGGAGCCCAATATTGTGTTTACTTGCTACTTATTCTTTTAGTTGTATTTATATTAGTTTTAATTATGGTGAAATGTATCAAAGGAATAGCAAACTTCCTTTATATTTATTAAGAAAACTAAAATAGGGTGGCAAATTATTATACGACTTTAAAGATTCTTGCCAAAGGATTATGATCCCTCAAGATCTGAAATAAGAAGATGAAGTTGGAATTTATCGCTTACAAATAAGAGCGAGCTATGCTGGTTAGGTATAGTCTTCTCTAACAGAGGAATCTGCTATTCTTATACAGGGTTTGGGGAAGAGTGGAGTTTAAGGATTGGGGGACTTTCAGAAAATTAAATGGTTTGTCATCATTTGAAGCACCATGCTTGTTCGGGTGCTTGGAGACTGTTGTGGATTGGTTGGCACGCTGAAGCATGTGTATTGGAGTGATTTTTGTCCTTTATTGGCTGTCTTTCAGAAGGAAGGAGCTGAAATGGATTGGTTGGTGAGTAGGGCTGGTGGGCATTGATTAACACGTTTAAAACTGATTCTGGTGGCTTCTTGTTACCATGGCTACGTGTTAGGGGTTTTTTGTTTTGTTCTGTTTTGTTTTGTTGTGTTTTGTTTTGGTTTGTTTTGTTTTGTTTTTTCTAAGTTCGAGGTGGCTTTCACCAGATGTTTTCTACTTAAAAGTTGCTTCTATTGACTGGGTTCAAAATGAAAGCTATTTGAAATTCTATAATTACAGATTCATTTTTGAAGTTTGGGTCGAGAGGAATTGTTTGATAATAGCTTTCAGAAAGATTCTTCTTTTCTTGGATGTTATTTCAACAAGAAAACTTATCTGTATAACAGTTTTTTGAAAAAAAAACAACCACAATTGCTAGTTTTGTTTTTCTTTTTGGTGCTCTTCGGGGCTCATGTTTAAGTCCGAAATAATCTGTGGGAAATTTCCTTCTTTTTGGAAAAGTGCATAGCTGTATGGTAATAATATTCTGTTGCATGCATTTAGTCCATGAAAAAAGAATTATAATTTTCTTTTTGGTGAATCTCCCAGT